ACGACCAGTAATACTATGATATATGCCCTCAAATTAGGAAACAAATTTTTGCGTGACTGCAACTCTATGGGGAGGGATTTAGGATTAGTATAAATGCCACCAAAGGAAAAAACTCTATGTTAAAGTTTCTTGCGGTAAAACTCTGGTTTCAACAGGACTTTTGGTCGTGCTTCTAAGGGTTGGCTTTTTCGTGCGAGAAGATAAGGTTGTTTAAACCATGACTTCTCCACACTACCTGGCCTCTTTCCCCATCATCACGTGGTGCCCGATAAAGTTGCTTTCGCATAATGTTCTCAGGTATCCATTAACAAGCCAGTGTTTAATTTTTCACTACTTCTTGTATGTCTAAGTGAATTGAATCTAATATGCTCGGCCATTTGCACAATTTCGGGCGCGGATTTTTTGATGTTTGAAGTGCTTGGCGGGCTGCGCTTGACCCACATGTCTGTGTGCATTATTGTCAGCGGTCAATAAATGCATGCGAATATTTTTAATACAGTAAATAGGAGTACAATCTAATTATCAAATGAAATATACCAAACTTGATGCTAGCTGAACTGTCGGCCTTACGCGACTGTGTTTTGAAACAGGATATGGTTTGTCACGTGATACCACTTCCTGCATCAGGCTTATTCTATACCGTACGTGATGCTGACACGACACATATTTCGGTGTGCACTACGAAATGGATGCTTTTGGGTTTATGGCCTCGACCGCTCAGCTGCTGGGGAGCTTTTTGTGCGTCGAAAAGTGCAATCGATCGCCCAACACCAGATGCTGCTGTGATTCACTCATATTGTTCACGCCGGGCCGGAGGGAATTCTGTTCACGTGCAATATTTAGAGCGGAGCGAGCCATGAGTAGGTTAGCTTCGACAGGATCAATGGGTCTGAATGTGATAACGAGATATATATGGGTAATGTCGGCGTGTCTCGCCTTCGAGATTGGTCCCCGAACGGCCCTTTCCGTTTACGGTTGTAGGTGCTGCGAGATATGACTACTAATCGATTTCACGGGTTGTTCCTCAGTCTATCTAGTTTGTACCTATATGTTTTGCTTTTTTGCAACGCAAGGCTTTTGTATGGGTTGTAGTTGCGCGTCGGTGTTCAACGCTAGCGAAATATCAGCAGTGTACCTATTGTGGATGTTAGGTACACACGAATATCACTATTACCCCAACTTTCGGCTTTCCGATTTTTTTCAATCACGAGGTGTTCAAGATTTTGCCTAATGGAAATTGTAACGATATGTTGGTTTGTTCGCACTGCAAGTGTTTTCAAGTTTTGCTTCGGTTACACTCCATATTTGCCTAAGGTTTAAGGTTTTTTATCACGTAATCTCCGGCGTATTACATGGATTCTACGTGAACGCTGTGTCGACAATATGAACACAAATTAGAACGCCTAAGCGCCGTTCAGCGGCGATGTATAACTACTTAGGTGTTTATCGGGTCGATACAGTTAGTATGAGGAGACACAGCAATAGATTCTTCGTGAGGTTGTGGTAATAGCAGTAGTCGGTACGCACAGGTTCGTTCATTTCGTCGTAGCTGGTCAACCCGGCGACCCTTCGGTGCATAGCTCGAGGCGACTGGCCAGTAATTACTGTAGGACAAAAACTGCCCGTAACTATTTCAAGGTGTGGATGTTTCGGTTCGTTTCCTCGCACCTAGCTGCCATACCACCCGAAGTAAGCACGAGGTCTGAAGTACTGCCAGGCCACCCAAGCCGAACCCGGGGAAGTCGAGCTGCAGATGTCAGGTTCTAGCCATGAACTTTCCGGTCCATAAATTCGTGCTCGATCACGGGGTGCAACGACGAGCCGCGGCTCGATTATCACTAAACCTTTGCCACCATTTTTAGAACGACGCTGGTCTCAGAGTTGGGGTTCCTCCACTTTGCCCTAGGCTTGTCAAAACACCAGAAGGAAGTCGATGAGGGGAGTCTCCCTTTCCACTTTACATCCGGGAGCTGCGTTCTTTGAAGGTAGCGAATTTGGCTTCACTAAGAAGCAGTCAGTAAGCTTGCTGAATGACTGCAAACTCCGAAGACGTAATTGGGAACTGAATTTTCGTTCCACTAAGGTCAGTCGTGGGCCGACTATCCCGCGGACTGAGAAGACTAACATGCAAGTACGAGAAGTCTGGGCCAGCATTTTTGCCAGGAGAAAAGGACTCAAATAAACTCTCCTCGAACCACGGTTATCTCAACAGCACAACAGACCCCTCCTCATGCCTGATCATCATGAACGTGCTGGAGTCCGAGAATCAATGTACTACTGAAAGAATGCACCGTGATAAGATATTAGAACTTGTGGTCAACGTCATGTTTGTGAAATGGGAATCCGGATTCAGAGAGATATCGTCATTGCGCCTTGGAAGATAGACTAACGGCAACTCTTACCATCTGAGTTCTCACGGACGAAGAGAAATGCCAGTGAGCTTTTCAGCGAAAAATATCCGGGTTCTTAGTGATCTCTAAAGAATATATGGTCATGGTGAGGTAAGCCGTCAAGGGTACGAGGAAACGGTGGGCTTGCTCGTGAACTTAATCTCCGGACTGTGGATTTTCTCGTGATAAAATGAAAAAAATAAGTACCTCGGACCAGGTGTCGACTAGTCGCTCTGTTCCCTGGCATAAAGACTGCAATAGTTTTGCATATGATTACTGTGAATTTGAGTAGCCTCATAAAAGTGAATGCAATTTAATTCATCTGCTGCACCTTTGTGGCGCATAGTTGCCATGCCACCCGAAGAAAGCACGGGGGCTGAGGTTCTGCCAGGTTGCCCAAGCCTAGACAGGTCGGGCGGGGGGGTGGAACATGTGTGGCGACTTATTCCTTAAAAATGGCAAGGAACTTGCATTTCCCATCAAACACCGCTGCCTTGTGGTCAGGCTCTGGAGTCAAAGGGTTTGGTCGGGAACCACAATCATCCTCCTGTCCAGGCGTCGGAGCCCTTGCAGCATCCCAGTCTTTGTGCAACCATGGTTCTGACAGTTGAGAACGCTTACGCCACACTGCCCGTCACGGAGTGCCAACAGCCGGGTTGCCTTACTTGCTGCATACAACAGGGTGGGTAAGCAACAACAGACTACTATTAACGCCTTCCTTCTCTTTCGCATCCTTTTTATCCCCCACCCCCCACCTAATTAATAACTCTCCTTGTAGGCCCGCCAATTAGGACTGATGGTTCTGTTCAACCTGCATCGGTTTTGGCAGCAACATATGCACATCCTCCACCGCTGACATCTTCAGGCAGCCCGTGGTCACTCTTCAAGCATCGACACCAAGTATATCTGGCTGTTGTTAACGTTCACACTCTGAAGCAAGCAGAGCAACAAGCTACTCTTGCTCTCACACTGCGCGTGTTTGGGGTCGACGCGTGTTGTGTAACAGGAACAGATTTCAAGTTTCAAGCACGTTTTGAGCTATCTGTCCCATCCCTGTCCATTCGCTTCCGGCTGCGCACTTCTGGCGATCCAGAGGCCGCTTCGGTTGGATGTGCAAGAGTCGGCGTCACCTCAAGTCATCTGGCAGAGGGATACTTGCTTGACTAGATACCCGTTGATAGTCGACTCTTTAAGGTTCGTCTGACAACGTCCGTGAATAATCGTTCAGCTGTAGCACCCTTTCGGTGCCTAGCTGCCACGCCAACGGAAGGAGACGCTACGGCTGTTACTGCCAGGTTGCCCAAGCCTAGACGTCCGTGAAGGAGTTTCGGGGTAACTCAATGAATAAATTGCCATCCAGCTGGATTGAATCGGTACCTTTTTCACTGCCTTGAAGTGGCCCTTTAGAATTAGTTGTCATAACACTCCCATGCCGAATAGAACGATGCCCTTTCTGAACCGAAGAAGGTTGATATGCATGTTTTGAAACTCCAAGGGGATATCATCTTTCTGCGGAGCTCTTTCTGCAGTTCAGAATGATTTTCACTGTCTCGCTTGGTTTAGCAAGTTAACAGAAGACGTAAGAAACTTTCTGGTCTGCTGAGCAGCTAACTGAAGCACCCAACTCTTCAACTTTTGTCAGTGGTTTGGTGGATCGACTGCATCACCCAGTGCTCGACGCTGTTTTCCGATGCTGTCTACCGTTGCGGATAGTCGTACTGACAGATAGTAGGAAGTCTACCGTTCTTTTCAGACGGAAGTTCTTAGTTACAGCAGATAATCGTGATTTATCCATAGGCTAGTCCTTCGTTTTCATCTGAGCGACTTGATGTGACTGACCTGATGTAACTTGAATCTGGCTTTCTGGACCACTGTTAGCCAACTCGCTTTTGGTGGCAGTCGGCCTTCCGGCGCTAGCTTCATTTATGGTTTCGGAGTCAGAGTTTTCCCTGTGAGGTCAGACGAATCTTCAGCCGAGCGCAAATGCGACTATACTCAGAGCCACAAGTTCATCCAGCTCCCACTAATCGAATAGACCGACTGCCACCAATGGACGATATCCAACATTGCTGGAATAATGTATCATCTAACTGGCCAGCAACTGATCAATGGGGTCCTGGAAACGCATGCTAGTAACCAGTGGCCGGTTGTGGTAATTGTTGTAGTTGTAAATCGGTAGCCGTCCTCCCTGCCATAAAACCGAGTACTCGGATGGATCACAGGAGGCAGTTTCGAAATGCTTGGTCTATTGGGACGACAAACTGTCAAAATCTCGCCCTTAACCTACTAATAAATTGTCCAACCCTCGCCCAATGTTTCGGCTGTAGCACCCTTCCGGTGCCTGGCTTTCGTGCCGCCCGAAAGAAGCACAAGGGTTGAAATCCTACCAGGTTGCCCAAGTTTTGACAGGAGCAGTGGAGGTGATGAGGTCGGGTTGAACCGCGGACATTTTTGTCAGTAATTTCGCGTCTTCACCCCCAAAACCTCGAGCTCATCCTTGCCTAATATTTTGGTATGTCTAATCAGCTTCTCTTCATCATTATCCGCATCATACAAAGCAAAATGGTGTTGAATTATCTAATTTGTCAACCGAATTCATTTTCTTTTCAGCCGCATTGGTCTGATGACACGCGTCAGTCAAAACACCGTGTATTTGCTCCCCGGCGAAGCTGTTCTCAAGGAAGGGGCCGTCAACGGCGGGAAGCTTTTGCTCACAAATTACCGGTTCATTTTTGTCACAATCGTTCCGGACAACATATGGAGCATCCCGTTGACGCTTATCAGTAAACTGGAAGTTGTCGATCTTCTTTACCTTCGAATCACCACGAAACTTGGCTTATCTCTATCGTATGCATGACCGTTTTACTCCCAAATGACTACTTTTGTTCAGGTGTGAGTTCGAAGAGGACACTACATGTGAACTGTGGTTGGGATGTATCACAAGAGCTGCTGATAGAACGAGTGTGCTTGAAGACAGCTTCTGTTTTCGGTTTCGGGGCAGCCTACAATGTGTCATTCCGGAACATCCGTTTTTATTTGGTTGGTTTTCCCTAGTAGTTTTAACACTTACGATTTTTTCATGTGTAGGTACGAACAAACTTCTCTGGGGAGCTACAGGTATGCGCTTCATTTTCCTATATGTAAATACCAGAATGTTCCATTTCAGATGGGGCTAGTCGCTCAGGACCAAATCTGGTCTGTCGTGAACTGTCCCGAATGGGGTTCAATGAGGCGTGGAAAGTAACCGACGCAAATAAATCCTTCAAGTATGTGGCTTCATCTCATGGTTTCATGTTTAGAATTTGCCCTTCTTATCCGGAATATCACATTGTCCCGAGAGATGTTGAAGACAGCGTGATTGCCAAAATAGCAGATTTTCGTACCAACAGACGCTTCCCCTCAGTGGTTTGGAGGTCAGTTGTTCCTTTGACGTTATCTTCTCTAACCACTTTGTGGGTAGGTCTCAAACAACCGGTGCCGTGCTTTTGCGTTGTTCCCAGCCGTGCGTTGGTCTGATGGGCTATCGTAATGAGTTTGATGAACAATTTATGTGCAACGTTTCGCGGAGTTGTCAAAAGAATCCCGGATCAAGACCTATCACTGGTACGTTTTAGGGGACTGTGTTCACTTCTGAATGGGACTCAACATTTTCATGCGAACACTTAAGAACATACTTTCGCTCTGTTGTGGCGTGCAGTTTAACGCGGCGGTTGCTAGCCTAAGCAAATGTTCTTCGGTAGTAAGCTGTGTTTCCGTTTCTTTCGTTGAACATTTAAAATGTATTTTAGCAGTCTGTTCGTACGTGAGTAGCAGTGTACTCAGTTTCCATCTGTCCTGATGAGATGAACCACTGAACAGGAAGACTGATAGCTGATTGATCTCGACGAGCTGGCACTAACACAACAATGTGTGGGCAGGACGTACTGGCTCTTAGACACCATCCTGAAGCAGTGGGCGTTTCTGTTGCAGGTCTTACTCAAACGGACTAAACCCAATACTTGTGCGAATACACCCTATTCTGACTTCCGGGTAATATAGGTCAGCAATCCGCTATTTATACATCCTTCCACCTTATTTGATTTATTTATCGCGTAAATGGGCCATCGTTTAAGCATACTGGCGGTTTATGAATATCTTCACCGAAAGCACGATGTTACAGGATGGGAAAGAGACCTAGTGCCAGTCTACCCCAACCATCTCACGACATCCACTCAGACAATTGGGATAGAAACTGACAGCAGGAGCGCCACCGACATCGATTAACAGCCGTATCTTGCGGTTTCTCCAAACATGCATAGGGAATCGTGCCCCTCCCATCCTGAAAAGCATGTCCCGCGGCCGTTACCCAAACTTTTGTGGTTACTCATACCCACCTGCCATGTCAGAGGCTGATCAGCTCTGTTTGTGCTACTGGTTTGCTCACGCAAAACAGGATTCTTTTTGGTATATGCAATGAATGGCCTAATCACAGCTCTTGGTTCTGGACACATTCGTCAATAACATGAACTTCTATCGAGGAATGTCTAGTAAACCCGATCCAAGCTTGAGAGGTTAGTGTACTTATCCGTCTCGCTACAATTAGGATCTATACAACTTCCATGATCCCTCTCCTTGAATTATAAGTAGCGTGGTCCGTGAATGCATGTTTGGGGGCATGACCTTGCACTTTGTGGGTTCAAAGCGCAAATGAGAGGACGAGATGACGAGTCAGTTCATCCAAAACTACCTGCGCCTCTTCGAAGACTAGAACAACGTCTGCATATTCCAGATCGATGAGGTTTTTGTCAGTAGCTATTTAAATGGCAGATTTTAAGAACCCAGCGTTTGTCTCATCGTTTTGTCCATCACGAAATTAAACAGGAGTGGTCACCCCTGGTGGACGCCCCTCTGTGAATGGAAGCTTTTCGAAAGCTTCCTGTGTACTGTCACATGCCCGGAAGGCTGAAGACACAAACAACTTATTTTGTCGACGAAATTCCGGGGCATTCCTTGCTGCGAAAATGTTTTCAGGAGAACAGACCATTCAGCCTAGTTGACTGCGTCTTTAAAGTGCTAAAATACTAAAGTTGTGGGTCGTTTATACGTGTGCTTTCGGAACACCCGACGAATTGGGAAGCTTTGGTCAACGTACAGTCTACCGCCCCGGAATCCTGATTGTCGCTCTCAAGTCTGCTGCATGGGTCACCATAAGGTGGTGAAGAACAGGGTCAAGCTGATCCCCCTGCGATTACCGTATATCACTGGGTCTTAAAGGTCGCGTGTACCAGGCTACAGTAACGGCTGTAATGTGTGGGTGCGAGACGTAGACTCTGCGGCCGGATGATGTGAGGCATCCTCAGGCTTTTGGTCGCTGATGCCTCAGAAGCGTAGCTGGTTTTGGATGGCATCAGCGGATTAGTGATGAGGTGATTAGAAAGGGGGTATATGGTTGTGTAGCAAATACTTCAATCCTGGAAAACATCCAGCACCGTCAACTGCGGTGGCTCGGTCATGTGCCGCGCATGTCGAAACACCGTCTACCGAGACGAGTGTTCTGCGTGCCTTCGGAATGGCGCAAACGGCGAAGTGGATAATATATGATCTGGCGGAAGGATGTGAAAGAGCTTACGAAGAGTTTGATTGTTGTTGATGTTGTACACCTTCCAGGATTTGGTCCCCGTGACCCTTCCTGTGCTTGACTGGAGACAAGAGTGGCGGCTGGTCGATACCAGTGGCGTTCGTTCCCTCAGTTTCCAGATTGGTTGGGCGCTTGAAGATGCAGGCACCTCAGAATGCTTGACACAGGTCAACACCGGGTTCCCTCACTCACCCACTCCTTTTCTATGGTTTTCACTCTAAGGCTTTCAGTATAATAAGATAGACTTTATTCTTGCACGACCGTGAAGCATCAGTGCCAACACTGATGTTGTCTCTGGTGATGTTGTTGATACTGACTTCTTGATGCATAACACAATGACAAACGAATTCACTGTGAGAAAAAAGAGCACCTTGTTCTGCTTGGTTCAGATGGCGAACAGACAGATACCAGCAGCCGGACACCCCGGTATCGATGCTTGAGGATCAAGAAACGTTGTCAGATCTCTGACCATTGACCATCCTGAAATGACAAGTCGCAAGTGTCCTGTGGAGTCCTCTCTCCTCTCTCCAGTGTAGCTCAGTGAATCACAGAGGCACACAAACCGCCACACCACGCTAAAGTCTAGTCTCTTCATGACGGGTGTTTTCAGATCCACCCCTGTTTCTTTGTTTTGTAGTTCTTTCTCAGCTAAACTGTTCAGACGCGATTCCGTCTGCTTTTTTGGCGCTACTTGCACTGCGCCAGTTTGATCTAATGGGCCAAGCCGGAAATGGATGTCGATTGTAGATGGGTATGTGGGTTCTGGTGCTTTGTATCCTACGTCCGGCTTCGATGTTTACGAAACTGGATGGTCAGTACAAACCAGACTGGACGCCCCATTTCCTTCCTCCCCCGCTGCAGAAAATAGAATTTAGAAGGTAAATAGGGATGAAGTCTAGCCGAGAAGTATCACTATTTATCAGCTGCTTTTTGCGCGATGTAACAAGCTCCGATCAGCCAGCACAGGGCTGTAATAAGAGCGTGATGAGAACGTGCTTTTGCTGCACAATGTGCCCCCCACCTATTGTGATAATGTGCTTTTTTATTTGATTATGGACATATGATAGGAACGTTCTTATGTGAATCAAAGCTTCAGCGCATTATCTGAGCCCCAAAGTAACTTTTTGCGGAAAGAAATAAAGAACATGGTTTCTGAGTGAACTCCCTATCGGATGGAAATTATGTGCTCCATAAAAGCTCATGGTAAAACCACACCTTATGACAACCGAAATTCGTTTTAGCAATGATCATCTATTAGGGCGTCCTTGGCAAATATTTAATCACAACCAACTCCCCAACGACTATGATCAGAAATGAAACCGAATATATCGGTCCACGGCCTGGGATGCAGAACCTGCTGTGCTTCATCCAGTCTTGTCTTTTGTGGTTCTCCGGCATTCAACGGCGGGTACACGTGAGGTTTAGGCGGTCAAAAAAGACCTATTCTAGGATGGGTGCGGAGTGTATCGCTGTCGAGAAAGAAAAAAATCACATGCACTCGGGTTAAATTGCTCATTCTGTCTGCATGTCCATCTCCCAAAAGTTTTTTTCTTTCCACCGGTCCTTCAGTTGAGCTCGTACTGGACGCTAGGCTGTTCAAGGTGAATGTTAAGCACACCTCTGGCAACAACCAGAAAAGATAAATAGTATTATTCTGTCAAATGATTTGCAGTATGTCAGCGAGTTTGGGTAAGGCGAGCAAGAACAAATGAACTTTACGTATGGGTTTAATCTAATGAACAACTTTGGGAAATGAAATATTCGTGGCATTGAAGGTTATTTGTGATCTTTATTCCTTGAAGAGTGTCTGATGTGCTACTCCGGTGTTTCTTCACATGTTCCTCGGAATGGCGTGTTAGTTTCTTCATAAGAACTCCAGGGGCTACTTGTTGTAACACATCGCTAATTAGCTGCTGCATCCACTGATTTAGCAGAATTAGCGCAGTAGTGATAATATATCCTCCGTCGTTTTTGCTCCAGACGCATTCAGTCCCAGAGGCTTATGTTTCGTACAGATTATGACTCTCGCAAACCTCTTACAATTTCCACTACTACACGTTGCTGGACCTCTTGACAAATATATACTGGGGCCTTCATTGTCAACCCAATCGATTGTAATTTTGATAAGCGTACAAACCAGGTTCCATGCTCTCTTCGTAGGTCCATTTCTGCGGACAACACTGAGAATGCTTGACATACTCCACAGATGACTTTCAGATGCCGACTCAGATTGCTGTGTCAGGCAGTAGGTTTTCGTTTGACTGAATCAGCAATAACCGTCAAGCAAACCATTTCCTATATTTCAGGTCCAAAGCGTCTCCTGATCGTTGATGCGAGAACTTTCAGGGTAGCCCAGTTGCGCCGTTTGCTAGGCGGTGGTTATGAACATACAGCCTACTACGACGACGCTGAAATTTGCTTCATGGACCTTCCAAATCTACATAAAGTGAGGCTTAGCTTTGAAAGCCTGGTCCAACTGTATGCGATGGATTCTGACGCCAGGTTCGTTTTCCCCATCCCTCTCAACAATTCGGTTTAACATACAACATCTTTTTAGACCTAACTGGTTGGTAACTTATTCTGAGACTGATTTCGTGGTTGCTACTGCGGGACGAGCTACTCTTGGCAGGGCTAAAATTTCTTGTCCAAAATTTCTTGACAACTTTCTGCTGATAAGATTGCTGAGAACCCCTAGGCAGCTCACCAGCGATTTTCCGGAAGACGAAGTCCCCTTGTTCCCATCAACACTGTTCTACTTGAATCTCAAATCGCAAACAAACGGTGAAATACCTATTTGCAACTAATTTGATGTTAACGGGAGACTCAACTGAATTCCAGCTCAATAGTCGACTCCTCTTGTCTTCATTTCCAGCGCAGAGCCACAGGTAATAGGATGTATTGTTGAACGGATTTGATGTTGTTTGGTTTATTCGTGGCTCCAATAGATCCCCTGTAAGTGAGAAGTTCCAAGTCACTTCGTATTTCAATAGCTAGAAATTCACATCTGCTTTCTATTGGCCTGCATCACTGTTTCGAAAGCAGTTGGAGCATAAAAAATGTTGACTGACTTTGCAAGCCACACAAGAGGCCCATTAATGGTACTGACAGACAGACGAATAATTGATTGCACAAAGTTTCGGAGATGCACACGCGGAGTCCAAATGTGGCCGGATGACGTCCTCGGTAGATCGTTTGATAGAACACCCGTTCAGTAATTGGAAGATAGGTAGTTCGATTCCACTCGCAGGTTCTTTGTTCATACCAGGATAGTTGGTGTCTAACAAGTAGTTTTCCTATCCTGCGGAAGATGTTCATTGCTTCACAGAAAACAGTGGATGCGGTGTCATCCACTTTCGACCACCTCGAGCAGTAGTTAACCTGGCCATTGAAGCTCAGCCGCAAGTGGAAACAAACCGTGACTAGTCACCACACCAAAAACGGGTGCGAGATGTCCCTAATGGTTAGACTGGAAGGTCCGCGGTTCGAACCCGACCTCTGCATCTCGATTTCCCCTGTCCAGGTTTGGGCAACCTGGCAGTGTCCCAGCCCTCGTGCTTCCTTCGGGTGGCATGGTAGTTCGACACCGAATGGGTGTTACATCTGAACGATTTTTTAACGACCACACCGAAACAGTGGCGCGATAATTCTTGTCTGTCTTTATTACTGAGGTCACGGCAGTAAGGATGCTTGAATTAGCTGTATTTCTGTGCACAACTCAGATTTCAAAACACACTACAGCAGCTTCAGTTGTTGACAGAGTCCGTTTACAAAGTTTTTTTAGAGTGGCACTTGTATACTGAGTAAAATGAACCGACTACCTTCGAGAAATCCACTTGGTGATCGCTCTAAACCAGACGCTCAAACTTAATTCGTTTTCACTGTCCTAAATGCTGGGTGTCACTAGTGCAGGTTAAGGGATATAGAACGGAAGGGCCAGATTATACTGGCAGTTTTTCCGGGTAGATTTAGACTGTACGTTCAGTTTACCAGCCGGGAACGTCCTGTTGATAGCAGACAAAGGCATTGGAATGAGCAACTCCAAACAGTATTGGAGAAAATGCATCCCTCATCGCTGCTATGCTTTCGAATGAGGAAACTTCTTTGGAACAGTTGTTTTCAAATCAATTGGTCCGGATACTCCTTGTAAATTTACCTGGTATCAGTTCGATAGGCTCCCATTTCAGTCCACCTCTCCAATTCTACAATAAAAAGCTCTAACAACCTTCCGGTTTCTATCTGCCATGCTACCCAAAGGAAGCTCGAGAGCTGAGATACTACCAGGTTGCCTAAGCCTAGACAGGAACAGTCTAGGTGGAGAGGTTGGGTTCGAACCACGGATCTTTCTATCAGTAAGTTCGCGCCTCAACCACTTCACCCATGGCGCGTGGCAATAGGCATTTGTCCTAGTGGATTTGGGAACTTGTCCGATCCTCTATTCTCAAGGACACATGGAAAATCCTCTTTACATTCTTTCACCAGACTGAGAGTTAGTCACTTCTTAAGCATCTGATCTAGAGTGTTCACCAAGTGGATTGACCGGATACATTCAGTCTACTTTATTCAGTGTGCCACTCTAAATAACTTCATAAACAAGCACTATCAACAACCGCAGCCACTGCAAAGTTTTCAAACTGTTCCTGGGTGAGCTGCTCTAAATACCTCAACATCACATCTACTAGACGGATGTGTCGTGAGCCGGCTACGCATTAAACGAAAACATGCACTGATTGATCAGGATTTCGGCCCATCGGAATCCCCTCACAAAGATTCTAGCCTGGCCTTGTGAGGAAATTCCGTGATAACCCTATTAGTACATTTGTAATAATTTTTGACTTCATAAAAGGCTGCCTTAAGCTACCTTGTCTTCTGATGTACTGTAGTGGCCGATATAGGAGTCGTAATATCGTCCGCAGTACGCAATGGAAACCTGAGTTGCGCAAAGAAATACAGTTGATCTAACAAGATCTACTACATTCAACGATTGACCCGACACTGTTTAGTTGTGATGACTAGTGACGTTTTGTTTCCGTTTGACTGCGGCGTTCAGTTTTTGTGATGACCAGTCCGGTTGGCTGGCTATGTTTTTAGCGTGCCGTTTGCGACTACGTTTTCTGCTATCATGTTCCCCGTTATACATAAATGTCTCCACCAGGCGAAAGTACTCCAGTATAGTTTTGGCTAATCACTACAGGCTTGTGGTGTTTTACAATTGACGTGGCTGTACTGAGTAATAGTCCTCATAAGTTATACATAGGATCATTGAAACCCATTCGTTCGAAGAGTGACATTCGCCTGGATTTCATTTTAGTCCTCCAACTTAATTTTGAATTGAGGTATTTTTGCCCAGTACATTCCATTCGATCAAGTGCCAAGTAAAGTTGATAGAAATTCATGTGTAAGACTACATCAAGAGGAAAGAAACTTGTACTATGTCCTTCGGTGTTTTCGTCGAATTTGTGGATATTGTCATGGGGGGGAGGTATTATTTCAATCATACTAAAGGTCCCAGCCATCTAACTCGACCATCTGTAGCACAAGAATTTCGTATTATCACGCTTTTGTGATGCGTGTTCTTCCCTTTTCCCGCAGTTGGTTTTCCTTACTGGAAAAGACTTACTGGTTAACTTATATCAGCCAACTTCTCAAGTGTTCTGTTGATATCGCTACTGAGTTAGAGTCGGTTGGACGCCTTGTGATGATACACTGCACGGATGGATGGGATCGGACAGCTCAGCTGAGCTCCCTGGCGCAACTCCTATCTGACCCGTACTACCGAACAATCCAGGCAAGTTTGCATGTCTACACTGTGTCTGATTTGTTACATCTTGTGTCCTACTAAATAAGTGGTACACATTCAAGTCTACTGCAACTGTTCCCTCCATCTGGAGACCGGACATCGTGGTGCGACGGTTTGTGTACCTCAGTAAGCTATTGAGATGTGCTGGAGAATGTCCACAAGGTCAGTTTGGTCATTAGACAAAGGTCTGACACACCCATTGCCTCAGCTCTCCGGGTTGAGGGTTAAAACGAGTGTGGTAACTTCTTCCTTAGAAGCTGGGCTACTCATGTGGTCTCAAGCTAACCACCTCTGCCTTTCAGTCAAGCTTTTTAACCTGAGGCATTGTTTGACGACCCTAATCGTCCTTCTATGTATGGGCTCCATGGTGTTATCTCAGCTCACATTCAGTCATAAAATTTGCCGATAAAAGTACCTTCATACCATATCAGTCGTCTCCTGTTGACATTAGCCAGATCCCCATATTCCGCTACATACAGCAGGACGGATAAGCGACTGCGCAATCTCCCGTTTTTTAATTGGTATCTTGTGTCACCTGACAATCACTTTCACGTAGATTGCAGCTGTATGAACCTTAGTCAAGTACTTATAAAATTGACACAGTATATGCCACAGCCCGCATCTGCCGCTCCGTACCCCTAATTCGGGCCTCTTTCTCCTGTTTTCATAACGGCCTTTAACGTGAGAACTCTTAGGCAGCTCGGTTAATAAGTTGACCCTGCACGTACTCCAGACGCTGTGTCGATTGATGTCCGTTTCATCTTTGAAATTCGGAAACAGGATCTAAATGCAGTTGTTGAGCTTTCACATTCTCTCTGTTTAGACGCTGTAGACTACGAACATCAAGTGATGCTGTAAAGAATATGTTCCGCTGTGACTAGATTGTTCATACTTTTTTGAGAACAAGAACTTGTTCAAGAGAATAGGGGTAAATTGTTGGTCGTGTTCAAAAACTATTCAAGCGACTGTTTCACCCATAGGAATATAAGTGTCACCCAAATCAACACGGCTACTGTTATTCCCTATATTGAGACGAGAGAGCAGTATGCAGGGTTTCTACCTGGAGGAGGGTGCATTCATTTTATTTTTACATCATGTCAACTGCTTGAGGAGTTTGCCACTATCGGCAATCGCGGTTTCCTTCGACATTGAAGGAACCCTTGACTCTATTGAAGGCTGGCACTTAATCTACTTGAATGTATGTTGTGTGTGAATTAGCATTTGAATCTCACAACATAGACTTAGCTTTGGACTTTGCTACCAGAAAAGTGTAGGTCCTCCCGTAAGAGTCGCAGTAGGAATTTAGTCAAACTAACCAGAAGTGGTTGTACAATGAAGGTGTTTACCGTATTGGTGGATTATTGTATTGCGTACATTGTTCTGGTTTTTGCAGCTATTCCTTGTGACTCTCTGTTACGTTTCCCTGTTCATTGGATTAAACCCTCTTTTTGGACTGACTCATCTAACGACAGTAAGCTAAAAAAGACAGTAAGCTAAATTTAACCAAGCACACTACTGATCCAGTATTTGTAGCTCTAAATTTGTTCTCAGAACTTGAAGGATTACGGGTTCTGGTAGAAAGCAGAATTTATGAGATGTACATTACTGATTGTTTTAGGATAAAGTGGAGTGAACCGACACTGCAAAACGCAGTATTTCTTGTGACCCATCTGGCTTTGCATCAATATTATCGCTATGACGACTAACGGTTTCCAGGGTTACTTTTGTTATCAGGATCATTGTCCCATGAAGACACGCGAGCTTTCTTCGTTTTAATGCCTGTTCCTATTTACTTGCTTCCATAGGGTTTCGCTGTGCTAGTTGAACGGGAATGGCTTCAGTTCGGACACAAATTTGCTGACCGTTGTGGCCAAGGAGGACTCAACCCGAGCAATCCTGGTGAACAGAGTCCCATTTTTCTGGAATGGTTGGACTGTGTACACCAAGTTCGTCTTCAGTTTCCCCACGAGTTCCAGTTCAATGAGCTATTCCTAGTAAGTGAACTGACCACCTAAATGAGTTTTCTCCGTTTCCATCGCTGTCGCGTTTTTAGTCAATAACATTAGGCGCCTCCGTTGGTAAGAGTCATTATAACGGGGAACCTGGGTTAGGGATAGCTCAGTGGTAAAGGCACGAACTTACTGACCGAAGGGTCCGTGTTTCGAATCCAGCCTCTGGATCTCGACTGTCCCTTTCTAGACTTGGGCAACTTGGTAGTATCTCAGCCCTCGTGCATCTGTCGGGTGGCATTGGGACTAGGCACCAAAAATATGTTACAACTGAATGATCGTTATTATATATTATGGTTTAAAAGAGGCAGTGTGGCTGCATTGCCTCAGTCTAGTGGTGGCGTTCCTGTCTTGGGGTTTTAATTGCTCAGCTGTTCGCGTACGCATGGGGCGTTTCCATCCGGTGTAGAAGAGACACCCCCATGTTAAGTATGATTTCCTTGTGTGTCTGTCCTTATAGAGGGGTGCTGCTTCAGCAGTGCTCTCCGACCTATCTCCCCTTTCAGTGTTTTCGGGGTTGGGACATAAGGGTTTAACATTTTATCCTTCTATTAAGAAAGATAAGCATAAGCTATGGTGCATACTGTGCTTCAAGATGCAAAATACCAATGAAGCCGCCCAGGCCACCTTGTAGTGTTATCTAACTGGCCACCAAATTCGCTACCAAAAAATTGCCTAACAAGCATCACTGATCTTAGAGTGAATAGCCCCAGGAAACGGGCGCTCAGTGAGTGATCCCCATCATGCTGGTACGACCCAGAACAGCTCAGTGGACAAATGAGTCCTTTAGCCAGAGGACAGTACATAATCAAGCATCGTCTGATTAAAGACGAGGTCACATACATACCGACAAAAAGACACAAGTGATTAAGCGAATATAACGAAGTTGAACTTGCGAGTGGTGGTCTGTCTTTGTGTAAACCATTTGGAGTCCCAGTAAGGGCAAATGCCTCATGGATGAGTTTTACTGGATCCCATTGAATCCTCACTGGCCTTTCAACCCACTAATTAGGTCACCTGTTCACCTATCTCCATCTCAATATGGGATCTTAACGTTTGAGATTAATGTAGTCGAACCCAGGAAGCCGTTGTATGCTGTTCGAAAGTTAACCCATAGGTCTATTGGAATATCACACGATATGCCTTGAAAATTCGAACTAGTATCCCGTTGAAAACATTTCAAGCGGTATCATGAACATAAGCGATTCACGGCAGAGTTTCAGTCTTACCTTGAGTGTCACGGTATTGATCTTCCGTGATTTTCACCAGCGGTATGTTCCAAAAATAAGTTGATCATTCGCGTCAATCAAGATTGACACGTTCTTTTCCATTATGTGAGCTTAAACAGTAGTGTGTTGACGGTATGCCTATTCGGTTGGAATGCCTAACAGAAACATTACGACTGGAAGGAACCTATTCGAACGGTCTCTATGTTGCTTACCCATGTGGATACATCGTGAGGAGTAACGATGAAGGTAACTAATAAGTGCTGCTTGCATCAGAAGACGGGGTTGTATCGTGATTCAGGTTACTCATCTTCACTAGAGTGTGACACTTACTTCAGTCTACCTTACGCGTAAGATGCATAAGAGAGGATAAAAATGTTTACCGGTCGAACAGTTTACAAGTATTCGATAAACCTAGGTGATCAGAAGATCCTATCGCATGGAAGGATGAATGAGGCGAAGTCCACTATCTTTCAATCGGGTTGATTAGCATGCTCTCTGGCATGACCGCATGCAATAATTTTTATTGATTTAAGTTACAACGGTTGATCTGTAATGGTTCGGTAGCATATCTTGTTACAGGGATTTTATTGTCAACACTAGTTGAAGGCAGACAGCTTATACGGAGCGGATGGCTCATACTTCAGAACCCTCATTCACATCGTTTTACTTGTTGGGTTAGATGAGGACATGACTCTTTACGATGATACCATGGGCGTGCACATCGCCTACAGCGGCAACTTATTCTCTACTGTTCACTTTTCGACTAACCACTTTGCAGTTCGGATTTGATTCCAACGAGTGATGCGCTTAACTGCCATAGAACCTCCCGCAAGATTGACAATCGTTGGCTACAAGAGGTGCTCCCTTAGGTTCGACGAAAACTACTCCAGAGCACTTCCTAGTGACTGACCCTAACTTGTTTTGGCTCCGCCATCATTTCGCACCTTCAAAGTCCGTGTGTAGTCTCAGAATTTTCTATGCTTCCTAGGTTGGGTTATGCTCCTTTCAAATTCTGAGGTCCTTTTTTAATATGGGGCCGCAGTGAATAATAACACCGTGTAGGACTGCACTGCGCTAGCTGTGCTAATAGACATTTCGATCAGTCTCATGAGCTTTCCCGGAACTCTCATATCCTTTCATTGCTTACTCGAAGTTTTGTTCTATTGCGAATCCCTACCTGGTTCAGTTTTTTGCAGTATAGCTGCTCTTTAATATCTCCCAACCTGCTTGCGACACTGCGAATGTCCCATCGAATTTCGAACCATACAAACTGACCAGGACTGCCCCCTCCCCTAAATTAACTGATCAAGCGTACACTCCATAGTACTTTGCCGGAGGACATCTGATATACATCACCCAGTTATAACTTCCACTTCGGCACTTACATCCATCCACAGGCCCCATGGTATTTCGTCATGGACATATTTTAAAATGACTTGGACATGCCATCCTTGTGTTTGTTGCACTTCACTACACCGGTTACTCAAAACTGTTGAATTCCTGTGCAGGTACACTGTTCAACCACGTGGGTCTATATTAAGGTATGGCACATGTTTGCACCGTAATTTAAGCCACTAACTGGCCGCTATGGCTCGTTTTTGCCGAATGTCGTTGTGGCCTTGTCATGCCAGACGAGCACCTTCAAATTACTTTGTGGATCACACCAAAGCGGTTGCGTCATTACTATGCGCTCTGGTCGTGCAACCTCACTGCATGTTCCATCCAGATCGCATCGTAGCAAAACTTTGAGATGATGCTGTATAAGACTAAATATAACCACTTGTAGCGTCGGAACTGAAAGCCATACAGCTACACTGTTCATTAGAAAATGAACTTTGGCGGCCAACCCAGTCATTTACCCTTGGGTCTGGGTTCCATGCTCCGATTTTCGTGTGCATATTTTACCTGACTTGTTTGTTGCAAGCCAGATTCGAAGTTGTCATACCATCTGCTGTGTACTGCTCATTTACGTTCCCGGGGCCACACCAAAGAACTTCAGTTAGGTGCTTCAATCGATACTGTTAACTCAAACTAGTGCTTGCCAAACCTATTCGGTAACGTGCGCGCCCAACGGTCCCAGAACGCCGGAAAGTCCCAACGGGATAGATCACCTGCCAAGTTTGATTCAACTACACTGCACAGTATTATGCATCTTGATAATATCGGATAACGCCAACTGTGTTGTCTTGGGCTTACGTGACACAGCAAAGTGTAGTTATGTTGCCACATGCCACTGCGCAGGCACCTTCATCTATACACTGAGGGAATGTGCGGTGGGTGTTATGACGAGAGGGTTCACAGTGACGTCGGTGTGACTGTTTGATTGCGACGTACAAAGGACACAACAGTTAGGTATGCACAAAAATTTGTAATGTGATAGTACGTGTTGTCTGCCGTTCAGTCATTCGGTGAAGAGGTGTGGTAGAATATCTCACCAGATATCATTTCATATCAGCACACGAACGTGCTGCCAACCTTGTGTACATACCAGTGTTGTATCGCCTGTTTCCGCCTTTGGCAAACAGGACTTGGAAACTCTGGGTTGCTCGATGGACAACTACTACGCTAGCCAAATGTGTGTCGTGAGCACCGCGTTGGTGGCCGAGAATTTCTATAAAATCGACCATGGTGAACAATCTGTGGGCTGAAGGCCCTGCAGCATTGACTGTCGCAGTAACAAATGTTTAACTGAAGTCAATGACGGTCCTTGGCACAGTTCAGTGGCATAGTTGTTCATGGCGTTTGGATATTCGGGCTCAGCTGTTGTGAATCCTCGGAGAGCCAAGGAATATGACTTTCCAATCAAGAGGTGGATACGATTTGCCTTACGGCTTGTCGGTTGTGTTCTCTTATGCTGTGATGAGAGAACGTGCAAGGTGGATTTGGTTACATTGCCTTGTTGCGATAACTTGATAGCTGACTACGGATTTTATCGTTTCAATTTTAGCGGGCTGCTTCCAAGTATATTCGTGCAGTTCTAAGCGAAGAATTTTGCACTCTACCCTCATCGAGCTAATGAGTAGCAGTAACCCTTTTCTGACACGATAGCAAATTCGTGCATGACTTTCGTTGGAACGTATTAGCTTTGGAAGTCATTACATTGTAGTTAGGTTGTTAGTACATTGTGGCTGGTGAACTTGATATCAGTCATCTCCATGCCCTCTGAATATGCCATTTTCTTCAACACACAAAACAGTGGCCAATATGACGACTTCATATTCGTAGTCTCCCACCGGCAAATATGTGCCTTTCCCACGTCAGGGCTAGGTTAATTACAGCACATATTCCTTCAACGCATCCATCAATACGCAGATTTTCCGAGTACTGGCACCGGTCGTTCTGTTTTCATGTATGTGTATCGATGGGCAAACACAGACTTATCCTTTACTTCCTTGTGGTTCCTATGTTCTATACTTCTAATCTGCTGGGATTCCATTTACTTCAACTCAGGTTAAACTTGCTGTTCATGTCTACTCTGGACTATTCGGCACATTCTTGTGCAATTCGGAGCAGAGCCGTCAAGAAGCACAGATTGCGAGCAAAACCTGTTCGGTTTGGGGGCTGCTGTCTCATCGGTTTAACTGGACTGTTGTCAATCCCTCTTATCAGCCAAGTGGAGAGGTAATGGCGCTGATTTTAGGAGTTCATTGCATTTTTCTATCATGGACGTTGCTTCCCGTTTTTCATATTCTATTGTGTGTTTGTGTGCTCCGACCCAGAAGGCGGTCTCGGTCCCGTTTTTTGGATTCTCATCGACAGTTTGCGAAGTATGACCTTCAAAGTCATTAAACCTCTAATCAATTTAGCTATTAAATATGTCCTACTGCTGTAGTGATTGGAGCTTGTTTAGTGGTTCCTATGCGACAGACCGAAGATATTCTTCTATCTTGTTAATATATCTCACCTGAAACTGCTGCGCGTGGCTTGTAAGTTTCTCACGAAAATAAGCGTCAGTACCGCTAAAAGTTGTTCATGGTTCGCCCCTCATTCTTACTCCATTGGTATCGCTTGCAAAAGAACACGAGTCCCTTTGCAAAGGAAACCGTATGGGCAGGCTAATGACCGGCAGCTGTGGTCGTTCGGTTCAAATCAGTTTGGCAACAGGTATTTAATAGTCGTTTGGCGTTGCTGATGGACGTAATTTTCGCTTGATGTGTTTATCTTTGTTTCATTTGGGCGAATACGAAAATGACTCTTGTTAGCCATGCTAGATTGACGGTATCTCGGTAGTCAACATCTAATGAAAAACACTGTGGCATTTTCTCTGATCTCGTCTGCAGGTAACAACGCTTGATACATTCATGGAACACTCGTGTCCCGTGGTTTTCTGCATCACTTCTCACCTGTGTAATCCCGAACATTCTGCGGTTTTCAGAAAAACGGATCTTTGCTTACCAGCAATCGCACGAAGTGGCTTCCGATTATCACTTGATTACTATTCAGGTTTACTGCGCCGTATTTTTTGTAGTAGGATTTTATCAACCTGTACGGATGCATCAGTGACTCCATCTCTCAAGCGATTATGCGTCAAGATTATGCTGTTTGACTGAGGGACTCTTATTCACAGGCCTCGAGCGTAGATTACACCATGGAAACCGGGGTGGCGCTAAACCGTAAGGTAGGGTGACTCAGCGGAGACTGCATGTAGCTAAGCAACTGACGATGAACTTGCAGTTTATCCATATCCTACTCAACGCCCATTTTGACCAAGTACCAGCCACAGCCAATACTAAAAAGTTTTTGTCGAACGTTTGGGGTGCACGATTGGTGGTTAGTCATGCTCGTCATCATCATCAAGCTTATTTGCCGTGGAAATTCACTGCGTGACTCTGCGCACACGTACACATCTTCCGTACCGTTGTTTTTCTTTTTTTTTTTAGAATCTTTTGAAGCCGGACTGGAAGCTTTCTTGCCTGCGTTTATGGAATTCCCTGTATCGGAACGCCCTTCTTCCATCCTGCCGAAGTTCGATCGGTGTTATTTCCTTGAACAGTGTCCCAGCCAGCATGGAGCAGGAAATTACGGATAGTGTGTCAGGTCACGTGCACTGCCAAGCAGACGCACCAGCAGAACTTACAGTCAGTGCGGGGCCGGGAGGGGTCACCTGTACTGATTACTTCTATACTGACAAAACTGTCTCTCCCGAAGACTGCTGTGCAGATCATGCAGGATCTGGTGTGCCAGTGCGCATGGATGAGCCGTTGAAACAGTCCGAGGCTGTTGATTTGCCAATCAAAACAACTTGTCCTAACAGTTTACGCCGCAACTTCTTGAGTGATCTAACCAACACTCCTTTCCCGGACACCGAATTAAGTGCCTTGGATACCAAGTGTGAATCTCACTTACGGATAGATAATAATGTGGCCACTTTGTCAGTCTCCTCGACAAATGACGATAATCCTCTGGCACCAATAACACCGGGGATCGATCTTACCGACTACCATCGTGAACTATCCGATGCTAGCTTATCACGTTTAGGATGTCCACGGTTACCAAGTATTTCTTCACGTGATGATCTGTTTCTTTCCTACAGACGTAGTTGCATCAGTCCTCGACGTAGAGGTTCGTTTTCTACCGATAACGGATCAGGTGTATTTTTTCCCGACGAAGATTTGGATTCGGCGTTTCCTGTTCAGGTCACCTCGCCCAGTCACCGAGCCTCACTCATCATTGGACAGTATTGCGCCTCTGACGATGAATCTCTCGCCAGATGGGATGATTGTACATCTCACGTCAACGACCTGACGACGGCCTCAATCAAAATACAACCCAAAGCTGATTATACAGGTTTACTCAACAGTGTCACTGAAAAACCGAATCACAAACGAGTAGATCCTGTTCCTTCTCAGAGAAGTCAATGTAATCGAACTGAGGTAGACGTGCTTGATGGGCCTATATGTGAGGGTAGTATGAGCTCTTGGTCCTATTCAGCAACAAAAGCTTCCACACCTGGTTTGGATATGAAAACCGTAGCTGTTGACTGTACGGACATGTTTGAAGCCGCGCACTCAGGTCCGTCAGATTACACGGTACATGTAAGTTTGATCTTGTCCTTTTTTATCACTGATGTAGTTAGTACTACATATGAATGGACTGTTCAGCCTGTGTGAACCATTCCAGTTTATTTCACTCTGTTAGGACGTTCTCGATCGATTAATACATGCCAACGCCCGTAGCAGTTTAATCTTCGTCTTAATCCGTGGGCTTTTTTTGATTCCACATGAAGTCTGTGACGCTACGGTGAAAGTGTCATTGATTAATCGGTGTTCAAACCAACTTATTTGTCAGTATTCCGTTGCTCCAGCATCACTATTATGTTCGAGTACTGTTGGACATTAAATGATGAGGTCCATTCTGGTACGAACGAAGACCCCGAGTTATGTGTTCCTACTCTAAAATAGGAGTTGCAGACTTGTTAGCGACACTGCTTGACAACGTCTACCGAATCGCGACTAAGTTTCAAACTTATTGGTTCAGCGTTCACGCAGACCAGTTCTGCCGTCAGTTGGACTCTTGGGGTTTTTGTTTGTGAGAGCACTAAACCTGATCGCACTTACCCCAAGACCGGGTCGCATCGGCAGATTGGGTAGTTTCATAAGACTCATTAAATCAGGTCTTGTCATTAAATTAGGTCTAGTTGGAAAGCTCCGGGTTTATCGGAACCTCAGTTTCCTATTGGTCACCTGCAACTTTGTGGCCCTTATATTGCTAGTACCGACCTGAACCCTCTTAAGATTCACTCAGGCTCTTATCTGCACCTTCCATTTACTCCCAACCAAAATAGAAACTATAGGGGAAGACCCAGTCTTACGTGATCAACCGGTGCATTCTACACCGAACCTCAGATGACAGAATAATCCGTAGTACTGTCAAACCAAACAGTTCACATCGATTTTATGGGTGAACAGTATTACTGACTTGCTATGGTTGCTGCCGTTTTGAAGAGGTGAAATCGATTCTTTTGAAATCAAACTTTGCTCACTCAACTTATAAACTGTTACTAGTGGCGCACAATTCAGCTCATTTCAAATTGTTCGGTTTCATTCTTTCTCACTATGCTATTCACTTACGCCGGGGACGAGATGGCGTTAGAACGTGAATTTACTGACCGGAAGGTCCGTGGTTCGAACCCGACCTCTGTCTCTCGACTTGCCCTGTCCACTTTTGGGCAACCTGGCAGTAACCCATCCCTCGTGCTTTCCTCGAGTGGCATGGCAGCTAGGCACCGGAAGGAAGTAACAGCTGAACGATACAATTCACTTACGCGTCACAGGCCGCGCCGCATTTTCCAAGCCCTCCTCCGACCGGTTCATTAAGCATTCGCATCTTGAACAGTGCGTCTTCATCCTCGTTTGCTTTATCGTCTGCCACGAAGAGACTGGACCTTTCCTTGGTGCGGCAGTTTGTATACCCGGGTGATCCATTAAGCTATACTGGGGGTGTCCGCGCGAAACTCATACCAAGTTGGTCAGTGGGTAGAGGTCTGACGAACACGGTCTCCTGGCCCTGTAGGTTGGTGGTTAGAACATGTGTGGCGACGTGTAAAAACGGTAATGTACTTGCATTTGTAGCCCAACATCGCTGCCTTGCGGTTAGGCTTTTGAGCCAAAGGATTTGAACTCTAATTGTCCTCTTGTCTAGGTGTGGGCGCCCTGAAAGTATCCCAGTCCGTGTACAACCACGTCACTTACAGCTAACAGTTTTCTCATGGCACATCGGTTATCACGTGTAGTATGGCAGTGGGGCCTCAGTGTTAACACTGATTTTGCTGTCTTTGATGATAGTGATTGCTTTATCGACGGACAAGTTGCGCGTCGTAGTCAGATTTACAACCCCACTCGGGTCTTTTTTGTCTGATAAATCATCGGTGCATACCGATGACATTTAAAAAAAAATCAGATCTTGATCACCAGTCCACTCAGGTAAGTATGCATCGAAGTCCAGGATTTTCCGCCAAATAAACATCTGCTAAACCTATGCATGTTCTAGCCCCAATATCTACTTCTGATTATTCCTCTCTAGCTCATGTATGTGTTTCTTGTACACAATGCATCAGGGGAGTCCAGTGCAAGACGAATGGCACGTCTCCTTATGCATCAGCAGGCTTGATCTGTAGTGCCTTAGCCGTATTCAGAGTTTCTGGCGCGAAATTCCATACTAAGTGAGCCATTAACGGAAGGAAAGTTTTACCAACCTAAATACGTGTTCTTCGTCACTCGTTCTATACAAATATTTGGATACTATTCAGGTTGAACGAAGGCTTCAATAAATGGAATGAGTGATAAGACGCTGATCGTATCCGTTAATTTAGGTGACGTTTTTTCGCTCATGAATGAGTCGTTTCTTCAGTTGAAAAGAGAAGCGGATATATAAAGTGGGTTACTCGAAAGCTTAACGGGTGTCCTTAATGCGTCGAAGAGAACAGTTGGCGCACGCAATGTTGCAGTAATTCAGATGCTGACAGTTGGAACAAATCACAAAATTTCGAAATCTTCAACACTGGAAAATGAATTCCGCGGACTGCGTCCAAAAATCAGGGATAATGACTTGACTCAAGATAATTCTGTGAACTGTTACGAAGAAACCAAGCGATTGTGGATGATAGATACATATTCCGCTTGCTGCTTTTCAGTTGGCCTATTCCTCGGGAGGTTGGTGGTAGCTGCTGAGGAGCGCAGTTATGCCAGAAAAAGTTTGGATCCATCGGTGCAGTATATACGCACCTCGTCAACCGTGGCACGTTAATGGGAAATCAGTTATCAATTAGCTCCATTAATAGAACTCTGAAAAAGGCCTTTTTGCTGGGTTTCACGAGCTCTACTCGTGACAGAAGCGGTGGCTTTCAAACGAAGATGGCTAGTTAAACATTTTCTTCATATCAGCTGTAATGACTAGAACCTAATCAAACTGCTTCATGGCGTTTTCGGTCAATCTTTCGGTTCGACTGTCTCTGCGTTTGACTGGTCGTCGCGCTTTCCTCTGTCGGTCCAATCTGGTCGGATCTTAGTTTATCTTTGGTAAGCCGCTTCTGATGGAGCTCCGTAGCCAGTTAAATTACATGTACATTCGCTTCGGGTGCTTATTTGAAAGGTGATTTTCCGAAAAAAAGTCTCATGCATCCTATATTCAACGTCACATTGGTCGTTTTTTCCATCGGAATTTTTTTCACTGAACATGGGCTGTCTAAATTCGTTAAGTTTCATCAGCGAAACAGCAGCATATCTTAGATTAGGTTGATTATTATGGGAGACCCAACTGAATCCCAGCTTGGTCTCTCGTATATGATGTACCGAATGTGCCGCACAAGGGACATCTCATGTTTCAATGCGTACGATGTTTGACATGTCGCGAGATATCGAGGTTGCTGAAAACTTATTGACATTAGTTGGAATCTTTCAGCGATAGTCCGCTTCTCTCCGTCTCTCCAGGTTGTTCATTACTTTTCAAATCGGTGGGGGGATAAACTCTGGGTAAAAATGTACTGCACTGATCACCCATGGCCGAAGTAGCGTGTGCGGCACGTCGCAATACCAGAAATGAAATTTATAATTCAAAATGTGATGACGTCGGCTCAAAAGATGTGTATGTTTGCGTCAAAAGATGTGGCTTGAAGTCGTCACATCGGAAATGAAAAGATTATGAATAGTTTTGATCACATGACTGACAATTAATCTTTTGACTATTGTGTTTGATTGTTGTGATGGCTACAACTAAAGCGCTTTATTTAATCGGTTTCTGTAGTAGTGTTCCATTTTGTGGGCTTAACATCCTTTCTCTCCGCTGTAATCTTTGTTCATCAGAGTCTACCCGAAGGTGGAGCTGTACTCGTTGGCGAGCTTTCGAGTGATTTGGAAATATCCAGTGCAGAGTTTCCGACGGAAACTAACGGTGCCTCCATCCAAGTTGATCGGCAACGCTTTATGGAAGACGATTTTCCAGGAGAACCTGAAGAACTGGACGATTTCTACCCGCGTTGGCGCCATATGTATTTCATGCGTTGTGTAATTGGGACTCCATCCAACCTGTTAAAGACGGAATCTCAGGAAGTTCGCTTGCCTCTCGCGCCACTTGCTATTTCAGTTGACGCATCCTGTCGAGATTCACGTTCAGTCAACCAAACGAATGCTCGGCCTGTTTCTGCTCCGAGTAGTCCTATTCTTCCCGAGCCGCGGCCATCCGTATTTTGTTCGCAGCCGGCCACAGCCCTTCCGAATCCAGTTTGCAATGTGCAAGCCGGCTCGGTTGTTAATATCCATCCTTCTAATGGTGACCGCGGCTGCTGTCCTCTTTCCCACTCGGTAATTGATTTGTGGCCCGATGTCTTTTTTGTACAGTTCATTCCCATAATGCGTTTCATCAAGTGGTTCCGAAATGCTTCTTTTCTAGAAGTGTTTCCTCTTTCTGGGGCGACAACCAATGTGATACTCAACTAAGAAGTTTTTTCTGTAGACTACAACTTGATTTGGCGATATCGGTCACACCGACCATGATGAGTACTCCCAATCTTCGGTAACTCTGCTTCAACAAGATGAGTTTGAATGTTTGTGCTTGGAGCCTCCGTTAATAGACTCAGGTAAGGTGCGGAGTTACTGCTGGTAGGGTCGGTGCTTCGAACCTAACCTCAATATATCGACTTCCCCTGTCTAGACTTGGCTCCTGACAGTACCTCAGCCTTTGTACTTCCTTCGGGTGTCATGTCAACTAGGCACTGAGAGGGGCACTGCTGAACTACTACTAAAAAATGAAAGGATATAATTTTTTCACCGTTACAACAACTGGATCTTCATTGTTATAAATTCGATGACGGCAGTGTTCCTTGCTTAAAATGACGAACTCAATCAATTGATTTTACGGTAGACACCATTTCACCTTTCCACGTCTTTCGGACCGTCTGTGTAATTCAACCCATGTTCAGATGCCCAACGGATCGGATTAGCTAATTTTGGCACAACTGAATGACAGTTGGCGCCCTCAGTGTTTTCATCCGTCCATGACGTGTTTCGTCTTTGCCCAGCGCTACATATCCTAACTACATATATGAGAGTGTGCCTTTTGCCACACAAATGTCTGCTTGGCAGTACTAAATTGGTTGTATTAATTCGATCACATATAACACATCCTGGTAACAGAGTTTGCCTCTCAGGTCACTGCTCCGATGTCCACCTCACCACAACCGTAGATTTCCCGTTATCAATCTAAACTGATTTTGCTCTTTGTTGCCATTTGGTTGTGCGAGTTTTGTGGAAATGGCTGACTTGCTGTGTGCAAACTACAGCGACTACCAGCGGATAAACACCACTGAATGGTATAGAAAAATGAATGATGTATATTACATACAAACCGGTATTACGCTGGCAGTACAGCTGTAGTTTTTAGACATGCATGTGTCTGCGATGCTGGTTTTCAATGAAGACAAACGTTTTGTTTACCTTCGCCGCGCCTCCCTGCTTTATGCTGTCCAGAGGCGTCCCACTGAAGTGGGTGTGACTTGGATGGTTCTGTGTTAAATTCACTTTTGGTCGAAAGTTGCCAGTAGGCTAATTGGCTCCAGACCAACAAAAATATGTAGAAGCCATTAGACTTACCCATTTTGTCCATTGGTGCCAGGTTGAACCTCGTTCTGTACAGTAGGTGATGTTGAATTTAATCATCTCAGACTCATTCACCTGCTGATGCCTTCCACGGGGTTTATGTTGATACAGTATTGTGGTTACTCGGAAAGCCAGGTGTACTGACTATTTCTCGGCCCATTAACCGCCCTATTCGCACGATGATGGTAGTTGTCGTGTAGATCTGTCTCACTTACTCTGTTGTTCCTGATAGTACGTAGGCACATGCCTGGTAAGCTGCATTTGGTTTGTGCATGAGCCACTTTGTGCTGAAACTTGCCAGTGTGCGGTCTTCGCTTAGCTCTCAGCGGTATAATTTTGTACACTATACCTCATTTAATATGAGTATCATAACGAATATGGTTTGATTTCGTAGTGTTTCTTTGTGGGTTCTGTTTTCTTCGAAATAACCTTTTTCCCCCTCACCTAATCGTTCAGGGGACCATCATTGCATGGGGTGTCGAAACATTACCTGGGATTTCGGTCTTTTTGTTGAAACATTGGGTCCCCTACACAGTGGGGAAATGGCTGGTGTGGTATAAAGTAGTATTGGTGGTCTCGTGAGTTAATCTACACTACTAACCTGTCATAGTGGATCTTCGTTTGTAATCTGACAATGCGACGCTTCACATGACCTTTACCTATGTCGTAGTGTTGCACTCCGCGAGCATTGTTCTGAGGGTTTGCCGGTTATATCTTATAAAAGAACGTTGTCTCTTATCTATTTCTCGTTTTTCGACATTGTTTCCGCGCATAATTTTCGAGCTTTTGGTCCTATTTACTTTCAGGCCATCCTGGATAATTCATCTATTGATTGGGATGGACTTCCCTCCTTGGTCGATGAACGTGCGAGAGCGAATCACGTCCGTACCTGTGTGGAACAGTCTCATCTGAAGATGCAGATTACCAAGTTGACGGAAGAGCTGACGGAATTGCGTGCCAAGTTGGCGAGAATATCTTTCAGACCGGAAGAAGCCAAGAGAAATTCAGTAACCTCTTTATCACCTCAATCCAGCCATCTCACGACTGCTCGCTACTCCGACCATTCGAACCGTTTTTCTCGAAGAAGTTCTCCAGACTCAATCCCGTCCATTCCCCGACCGACTTTGGATATCAGTGAAGTTTCTAGGGTCAGTGTCTTACCTCCTAACTATCTGGTGAATTCTCTTGCTGATCCATCTATTTTAAGTATGGCTTTCACCTCCCTGAGTTATTGAGCTGCCGGTGCCGAATTTGTATCACGAACATAACCTGCTTACTGATACTCCGGCCCTCCGAGCTGGTAGTTATCTTGGAAACTCGGTAACCACGTCCATCTTATGGGTCCCAGGAAAGTCGTGACTTGTAGTGTACTGTCGAAGGGCTTTCAGTAGCCTTTGTCTGTTCTCTATTTTTCCAACTAGGGCTGTAGAAGAAGTCCCTCGGTGATTGTTCGACATGAGTTATGGTATCAGCGTTTCTATTTACGATGCTGTTGATGATTCTTTCTTCCTTGTTAGCTGTTTGTTGCTTTTTCTGACCAATCAGAAATCCTAATTTAATGATTATGAGTCCCACTGCTCTGTGATGGTTACGTGTATTTGGATTAGCTTACATGTACGGTCACGAATACCTTTCCATGAATTAATCGAACTCATTGTTTATCGAACCCATAACTTTCTTTGTACTGTTCACATGCTACATGAGTACCAGTGACTGTGTCGGTTACTACCGATGTGACTTCACTGAAGGCAAAAATAGAAAACTCCTCCTCACGTGACTTAATAATCTACTGTGATGTTACTGCTGCTGTGTGTCGCGTCGCAGTGTACTGTAATCTTCTACGGGCACTTTCAGCAGGGCATTGAACCAGTGTTCAATAAATGATAAGTTAGGTTAACGGAGCGGATATGCACGTCCGTTTCCGGAGAAAAAATCGATGGGAGGCTTGAAGTAATCCTCAGCGTTAGGTCTTGTCTTTGAAAAGCGATTTAAACTTGTCAGGGAGAATCGCTCAGGTTGTCAAGCCAGAGAGAATATCAACCTGACTGTTGAGCGTGGTTGTAGGAAACGAAGTAAGGGCGTTTTCGCTTTCATTATCGGTCTCTGGTGTGATAGCTGTACCCCACCGACGGCTGATTCCACGGACCTGAGAAGCAAATCAAACGATAGCTTTTCGTTGTCTCTTTGCGAGCATATCTCTAGTGGAACAGCTGTTCTATGGGAAAATGTTGACTAACGCTTTCTAGTAGGAGCCCGGATGTGTCGGATATGTGCAAGTTCGTTAAACAATGAACCCAAATCAAATCAAATAACCCAACCATGGTGAACCGTTGCATTGCCCGTTAGTCGCCGAGGATTACGGATTAGTTGCTGAAAGCGAGTGTCCTCCAGTACATGTACGGATTTTTGTATTCAGTCGCTATAATCACGAAGGTCGCACCTTTACTAAATTATGTTGCCGTGGTGTTATTCAACGTAAATAACGCCACAAATCCATTGTTCAGCACCCACAGCCAAATTTCATCTATATAGTATGGTCACACTACTGTTTCCATCTTTATCAGAGAACAGCTTGTTCTTCCCCTGAATTTAAAATACCTCTCCAATGCGGCCAGGTATGCTTATTATTTTAACCCTAATGGAGACGTCGCTCTGGTGTCGTTATTTCTTTCTGTGAAGCACTGGTAATTCGTGTCCATCCTCATCTCCAGATGTGACGTCATGCCTACTCCGTTGAGCAGTCATTCTCTTTGTGAGCCGTGAAAGATTACGATTAGCACCCATATGGATTCTTCAGGATTAAAAAACACTTAGAACATCGTTTTCCAAGTGTCTACTACTCTCCCAGTACCTTGTGGGTTCCACATTTTAGTTTCTGACGTGTCACCCTTTTGGCTTTGGGATTCGACTGCTAGTTTTGCCCCAGGAGTGTTAATCCTGTTTGCCCTGGTGGCTTTGAATCACTCTTACGAACCCCTCACTGTACCGTTATTTCTACCCCAAGCTTTGTTCACTGCGCCTAGATTTTCGCAGGCTTGCATGTGGCAAAATGTATCAGGACAAAAGCCGGAAGATGCCCTCACCAATGCTGTTAGATAAAGGATATCGTATTCATTCAATCACCCCCACTTTTTAATTTGGTGTGCTTGCCTTACAGTCACCTACACGAGTTCTGTTTTTACGGTGACACACTGCTGAACCGAAGCAGTTTATGATTGGCAAAGTGAACTGAACTGAATGTCTTTGGCAAGTCTGCTTGACGTGAATTGTTTATTGTACCTCACAGACAATTGTACCGGCATTGGGTCCCGCTGACGCTCATCGCGATTCCAATCACATGGAAATCTCTTCCTACGAATTGGTTCACCCCCTGCAAGTCTCCACTGATATCCTTCCCGAAGCCGATCTAACCCTGTTTCCTTGCACGTATGTTCCGTTGCACGTATATTTTCGTCGTGATCTATNATATTTTCGTCCGTGATCTATGTAGTTTCGCTCATGTTGTGCGACATAGCGGTTATTCTCAGTCCTTACGCCTTCTGAGTGTCGCAACCTCTGTATTGACCTACGTTTGTGTATCAGGTGAATGAATGGCCTGCTAGCTTCCTTCATCGCAGCTTCGTTGTGTGTATCTCTCTTCGGTCCTGCCAACCATCACACTGAATTGATGTAACAGCTATACACATTCGTTTTCTAATTCAACCGTTTTCCGACTATCGTCGCAAACCACACTTAATAAAACGACTTTAGAACGGGATCCTCTCGCAAGCTTCCCAGTCTTATTCCCTCGATTTCATGCTGAATGAAGGGCTTTCAACTGGTTTCACACGTGGCTGAGCTCAAATCTAATGTGGCATTATCTCCTCCTCGGCGTCTGTCGGCTTACTGACAGGCATTCCGGGAACGGACGCCAGCCCACCAAAGGTTCTTATGGTCACCGTAGGAATACAGGGATCCCGAATACGAACCTTCTCGGGACTAGACAAAACTGCGTGACCGAAGTGTCTGATCTTCACTGGCATCCACAATTCTCCCTCTCTAGTGTGATGTTCTCTCATATAGCAATCATTGTGTTCTGTCCCCCTTTTCAAGAGATTTTTTAATGTTACTGCGAAAGCTTGTAATTCGGTTCAGAAGCAGCTCACTAGACCGATACCCGGAACTAAGAACGATGTGAGAGACATGCCAGTCCTCAGGGAACTCTGTTGCTTTCCAAGTGTTGTGCCTGAGGCTTGTCAAGCACTTGACCTATATCTTTCGGATCGGAAAAGCGCAGCCTGAGCCGGTTGTTTTGTTTCTCTTTGAAAAAAGTCGGCGGGAACTGTGCAGTTTTGAAGCCAACTGTGATCTGTTTGTCTGTCGTCTTGTCGGGTGCAGCAGGTTTCGAAGATTGCCCTGAAAAACTGCCCTTCTTAACAGACGGCGAGTAAGTTGTAGGCCCCTCTTCCAATTCAGTTGCTCTGTTTTCAGTGTGGAAGATTAATAAGAACAGCATTTCTGTCACTTTTTCTGACTGCTATTTCTCTCTTAGGGCTGCTGGCCAAGCTGCTTTAGGCCTATTGTTGTTTCCACCTGGAGAGGAGGTGAGTTTTAATCTTCAGTCAGGGCTTTGAAGATCGAGATTGCACTTTATTTGAACCTGGGTTTTGCTTCCAAACTGGTCCATTCGAAGACTTAACTGTTGATCAATGGAGAGAAAGTTCTTCATTTCAAACCCTTTTTACTGAGTCGATGGACAGCCTCCTTCACATACGGACTTTGAGGTTGAGTCTATTCAAAACTAAATGAATGTCTTCGATATACGCTCACTACCAGTAGCTGACTTCTCTGTATACTTGGTTGGTTGGCTTCTTTTCGGCCCATTTTTTGAAAATCCGTACCCGTTGCCTGCAGGTAAAACTCGTCTCCACGTTGTGTGATGCGATCTGCCCTTGCTCCTCCAAGTAGCAGCCTATCCCTACAGTCATCACTTCTTTAAACATAGGTATTTGAATCTGCAACCCGGATTGTTATATCCGTTCACACTGCCATCCTGAAAGGTAGGTGTTGAACCCACCTCATATTGTTGATTGAATAATGACCTCCGCTTACATGTAATGTCGCTACCAGCAGGACGTTACTCACATCCTAGACACCGAGGAAATTGGGTAATAGATCACTACGGGCGCCTCCATGATGGTTTCCGGCCTCCGTCTTGATAGTTTGTACATCCTTCTGATTTTAAAGTTTCTTGGTTCCTTTCGGTGCATAGTTTCTATACAACCCGATGGATACTCAAGGGCTACGACTCCTCACACAGGAGCTATCGAAGGCACTTTATGCACGCGGAATTCTGGGTCAGCAGTTCGGATATTCACCGCTGATCTGAATCAACATAACATTTGCTTTTCTAACGCACCATTACGATTCGGTTAGCCTCTCTATCGTAGATTTGTTCATGATGGGTGTCTTTATGCTGACTTGAGTACACGGCCACTGGTGTGCTACACGCAGTTAAGTTCTCAGGTTGACCTCATTTTTTTAACCTCACAGGAATTAGTCTCGTGCTCCACGGTTGACTTTGTTTTGATATGGTGTGTCTCACCAACTGCTGTTACATGGGGGAACGAATAACTAACTCGCAAAATTAATAAACAATAAGGGAATCGGTTCCACCTATCATTTCCCGCCTTTCTGAACTGATTCAGTTCTCAAACATGGCAAACGGTGGGTACTTTTCCACATAGTAGCTACCTGTTCACTAGCGTGTTGAGGAGGTAATGGGGATTGGGGCGCAATGTGATCCAATGTGCTTTTGGTTCAACTCTAGTTGCACAGCGTACAAACATTGCTCACTTTTGCCACCGATTGCGGATGTTTTGGGCAACAAAGTCTGACGCAATTTTCCCTATTTCCAACTTGACAGGACCCTTATAAGCACTACCACTGTTTGTTCGGGAGAATCGGTCCCAGATAAGACGATATGCGAAAAGAATGTGTCTCCGCTTTATCACAACTCATCGGAGGTGATTGCTCCAAACGGCTTGCCGGACAGCGGCGTAATGCTACCCGAATCAGAAATGCTAATGGAGCGTTCGGACAGCCAAGGTTCATTGAATACTCCACTGGATTTGCTGCGGCCTCTGTCTGGCCTGCATCGTAGCAATTCCTCCCGTTTTCCTCCATTACACTTCTGCGCTTCTGCCAGTCTTTTGTCTGCAGCATCCGCGGGGCACTTCCCAGGTGGCAACAGCATTTCACGCTCCCCTTCTTCACGGTGTCGGAGCGCCGCCAGCGGAACGGAATCCACTGCATCTCCGGCCGCGTCGGACGGAATAGCTCAAGCTTAACCAGCTTCACCATATTTGGCATATTCTCAGGGGCTTCCGCAAAACCCACCTATCTCGTCATCGTGGGAGTTACATTTCTCAATCACCTCGGTTGCATTACGGTCCAAGTCACCTTGTCTTTCACTTATTCATTTTGGTATCTACCCTGTAGTTGTCTGTCCCTTTGTTTTCCGTTCACCATCCTTTGTCACTGGTACTTCTCTCCGCATACACTGACAAGTTGAAATCTTTCCTGTATGTTGTTTTATCGATTACCTGTCAGCATGTTTACACGTTCGTCGGTCACGTGTTTCGATTCACGTTACTGAATGGTATGCTCCTCTTGCTGAGATAAACGCTGTTCACCTGAGTTTACGCTCCATCTATTGGACGTTTCATATCTGTTAACTGTCTGTCTAAACTTGGATCAACTTCAAACAGTTCTTGCTATCAGTACTTGATGTTAACCTGTCAAGGGAAAACGGCAGGCGTCTGTAGCTACTTGTGTTACCTTCCTTCGTCATTCTTGAAGCGCACGAGATTGTGCATCAGACGCTGTTCCTGCTTCGCTGTATTTCAATCCCACCTTCTTTAATCGTGGTACCTAATATTTTACTGACTTCCTGTGATTATCTCCTGCTAAAACTTCAATTTAGATTTTTCTGTTTGGGAATAATTCAAGATTGTTAACGAAGTTGGTGATTCGTGAAGTTCATTACCCTATTTCTCACTCGGGCTACTGATTTCTCCAGCCTCCTTTCGTGGCAAGATTAGGTGAAATTCATGATTTGATAGGCGCCAACAGCACAACCACCGACAGCTAATTCAGATGTTTTTCTCAAATTCGAAGATGGTCTTTCCGAATAGCCCAGTGTCGCTAGCATAGCAGCTCAATAAAGTAGGACTCCAGAAAACAGGCAATCCGTTCCCATACCCATCCTCCCACTTTTTTCGTTTTCGCGATTCGTTTTGCCTTGTCAAACCACCTCATTATTCTTCTAGACCTGGTGATAAAAACTGGTGTAGCGTCGTTGATCGTCGTCAACGTTGAAACAGTTGAGAGCGTTTGTAAAACCTCTCTAAGGAGAGAGATCGTAATTGTCGTTCAGCTTTCCAGCTATCCACATGTCACTGTTACAACTGCCGAACGTTTTCTCACATGGACACCAACCAGGCGTTAGTCGATTCGTAAACACCCATTATTGCGATCCAGGGTCATGATTGCCAAGGAGGACGGGTCGCAACATGGTTACACCAGCTAAAAAGGCTGTTGAAACCAACCAACAGCTCCTACTTCGAATGTTAGTGTCGTCGTCCGCGTGCTCCAGTGGCTCTGGCACTCGGTAACGCAGAATCAGGGGGTTCTTAAAGCCCATGGGCCATTGTGTTTAGTGTAATCCATGAAAGTACTTATGTCTGGGAAACTAGAGAAAAGTAAGACAGACTAACTCTTCTGTGCTTTCTCTCCGATGTGCTCGAGTTGTCTGGTTCAGGCACCGACTGTATTTTGCTGCGGTACGCCGCCACGCCACCCAAAAGAAGCAAGAGGGCTGAGATACTGCCAGGTTACTCAAGCTCAGACACAAGAAGTCGATATGCGTGCATTGAGTTCGAACCACGGACCTTCCGGTCAGTAAGCTCGTGCCTGAACCACTGAGCCATTTTGAACTTACTGGATGGCTGAATCTTCAGCTTTACCTCGTTTTCTCAGCCTCTTGCCGGTCTGGGAGCCTCTGGGATTTTGCATGTAGATGAAAGACCATTGGGTGGTCTATAGAAAGGCAAGCTGAGTCATGCGACGCTTGTTGGGGTTTTTTGTCAATGTGCTGCAACCGAATATTCCAATAACTTACACATTCAACGCTATGATCATCCTATACAACCACTCTCGGGGAACGACAGTTCATTTATACAACTTCGCACCACAGGACAATGTCGGAATAGGCTGTCCGGCAATGAAATGACAGTAAGACCCAAGCATACGAATGTGTATTTGATGCTAATTGGATGTAGAAGATAAGGCGATCCAGTCTCCACTCGGAAGATGCAGCTCCATACAGAATGGGACGGATATTCCGGAGATACGGAAACATGGTACAGTTATCAGCAGAGCGGACTGATATGGCTGAAGCGTATTAGTGACAATTTACATGCAGCCGCTTCATGTCTGCGGTCTTCTTAGGTGGGCTTCCCATCGATTCTATGGGAAAATCCCAAAGGTTTACTATCCATCCCTACAAAAAGGCAACCCTTATTCAGTGAAAGTCACCGAGGGAGACGGCAGTGGAATAATACCGGTGTATTATTCAATGGCCAAGTTACTGCAGTATCATACCCTTTTAGGTGACTAACTTGATCCATAATTACCGTATCCTGGATCCTCGCGGAAATTAGATGCGTGCAGTCCGTGCAAAAACACCACAGTAAGAAACTGATGGTAACTCGACTTGAGAAGCCCTGTTGGGTGTCATCCAGGTAGTTGACATGTTCATTAGATAAACAGTGAATGAGCGTCACGGACTTTTCCAACGAGTGCCTTCATTTTTGTCTCTTTCGCATCCGGCGGTACTGGAGGGTTATGTGCGAATGCTGAATCGTTTGTTGTCACGCAAGTGCGCACCGAAGCCCCTGGACCTCGTGACCTTTATCTACTCGGTTTATTTTCCATTACTACGCCCATGCTGAGCATGTTCGAGGGTGCACTCAGCCTGTCATAAAAGTACGAATTCTTTTCATCGAACTATAGGTAGTGCCTGCCAATCAACCGCGTCATCCAGAACCATGTGCTGTTGCTCATACTCAACAGGAGGGCCTATATTCTCTTATCTGTAAGTACCATTTCAATACTGGCAATGCGTTGGAATATTGGTAGCTCGGGTGCACTCAATGGCAGTAGATCAGATGGTGGATCTGTGTGCTGTTGCTCATACTCAACAGGAGGGCCTATATTCTCTTATCTGTAAGTACCATTTCAATACTGGCAATGCGTTGGAATATTGGTAGCTCGGGTGCACTCAATGTAGATAGATCAGATGGTGGATCTGTTTGCCAAGCTCGGCGAACAGATTAACAGCCACCTGACCGACTATCAGTCGCTCCAATATGCATGGCTTGAGTGTGGAAAAATCATATCAGAGTAGGTGCTTAGTGTAGTTTGGTGGAATGTCTAGTGGAATTGAGTGCAGCGGATCTAGGGTGTGGGATTCTCAATGAAAACGTGCAAGTTGTATCCAGGCTTGCAAGTAACATTTTCGAACAAATTAAGGGACACGGCTAACCGCCCCCAACAGCGTTTTGGTCGTTTTTTAAATCTAACTCACGAACACGCCTGTTACACAATGCGCAAAAATGACGTTGATTTAGCCAGGTTTTGAAGGAACACAAACACGGAACAACCTCGCTGAGGGGACCAGGTGTAACAAATCTGTAAAATTCATTATCTACGAGCAGCCTTAGAAAATCAGGTAGGCAAGATTGTTCACCGGCTACAACGACCAGATGAAAGCCTAGTAGCAGTGTTTAAAAATCGCGACCTCTGTTGCCGGAGAACGTATATTGGTATAAGCAAACATACTGAGAAAATAAAGTGAAACAAAAAAACAGTCGGAAAAGGACCTGACGACAATCTGGCATTTCAAATGCCACTAAAAAAGGCAACACAGGGCTGTCCAAATGCTGAAAAGATAAAGTCAAAATCACAATAGTTGCCTCAGAATGGTACATGACTAGTGAACAGACGGAGGGAGTCGCAAAAGAAAACGGAGTGATCTGACCCCACAAAGTGAGGCTGACATCAGGACAAATTGCAGGAGGAATTCTTCCGGACATTGGTTTCGTTTCTAGGCTGGTCATCCATGAGAGATGCAGAAATCGCCAGCGCTAACTGCCGATCTTCCTCTTCTTGCCTTTTGCGTTCGGCCTCTTCTGCTGAATCGTACCTGATACGATCGGCGGAAGTTTGGTTGTTGTTGCTGTTGTTGTTATTTTGATTCTGTGAGTGATAAAGCAACCGAATGGTAAATGACTTTCAAGATGAGAGTGGAGAATGTGACCGGCAGCGATAAGCACTAAACACCAACCTAACAAGTGTCAGTAGTGAGATCTTGATTGAACGGAATTGGGTTTCAGTCTATAATAAATAGATTTGCGCAAACAAATCACCGGAGAAAGAGTTGGCCATCACTGTTTGGGAGACGACCCTGATATAAACCCGGTTTGGTCAAACGTAATTAGTTTTACTGTTCATTATGACGCGGGACTGTTTGTCATTGACAACAACACTGAATTATTGTGCCAAACGTAAACGGTCTACGAGGATTGGGTATTAGGATCCCGAGATTCTATTTGCTGAAGCTGATGAGCAGTGGTCAGCAGCCGGGTTTCAAATGCAATCTGAAACCGAAAACATCCGGGTTATGCTGAACTAAGTTGAGAATTGATCGACTTTTCAAGAGACCACCACTCCATCAGTATTTTGCATTTTATCAGGCACACCAGACCGTTCGGTGTTGATACTCTTTCCGTGCACAGCTAACATCCGACCCGAACGGGATGACAGAGTTGGGCTGCTATCGAGTTGTGAAGCACAATATAAAACGACAGAACTCCCACGAAACTATGACTCACGTACCTGGTTGCTCGCTCAACAACCTACCGTCTGACCTTTGTATATGATACTATGAAACAAAAATGTGCGCAGTGATCAAACAGCCACGTGTGTTAACCGTCAAGTTAAGATCCAGAGATTGGCGTGCCGGTTTCACCAACCAGAGTAAATCGAGAAAAGGGTATAATCGAGCCAAAGTTTCAGATCACCACAAGAATTTAACAGAGGTAATTGTGAGGAAGTGATTGAGTGAACGATGTGCTTTCAATTCTATCGGTAGACACATTGATTTTAGTTCATTAAGAAAGCTCAATCGATACTCAGGTTCGCGGGCTGGTCGATACGGTTTTAGTACGTCGTTTATCTGGGATAGATGCTTCTCTGTTTGACAGCTGCAGAAATGAACGAAACCATATCGATTACCGTTGTTTTTGGCACTGGCCTCGTGAATACTGAAAGACAGACACGGAGCGCATAAACACACAAAAACCACGCTGTATGCGTTTCCATAGCACGTGACTATAGCTGGTTTGTGTGGGTGCAGAACGTGCAGCAAGGAACGCATCAGCTGACGCGCCGACTGTGTGGAAAAGCAATCAACGACTGTAGCGCAAGTTTTTTACCGGGTAGTTTAGCCTTGTGTGGTATGCCGTCAACCCTAGTTGGATAAGTTTGTCTCTTTGCGACGTAATCAATGTTTTGACGGAATGCCTGTAGTTTCAAAGGTACTGGAAATATCAGAGGACAGTCAACTGTTTCTCAGAGTGTATATAAAGTCTAATCAGACAAGCTTCATAAGCGGACAAAGTGCCGCAAATTTGTTCAGCAAAGTTTGGTCAGATCGGAGGAATCGATGAATAAGGCAAAGAACTAAGTTATTTCTGACAGTTCCTCCCAATATCTCGATTTTCAATGATTGAAAATACTGCTTGAGTGTTCTGCTCAGCTGTTTAACACACGTGCACACTTCCGGCCACCAGACAGGTCGCGTCCTTTCAGCCCGAATAGGAGCACAAATAGAGGAAAGTTAACAGCAGTTAGTTTGCTGAGATTATTGATGTGCCGATCGAGATATCTTTCCACCTCTCTTCGAAATGGAAAGGGATAGGTGCTTGCGCCCAAACGCGAATACACGCACCATTCGTTATTGACGAGAAAAAAATGGATTTTACGGTGGTTCATGATAATTAATTATGCACTTCGTATCGGACATGTCAGTGGCGAATCAAGGACCGTACAAAGCTCTGCCCGTTGAGCCGCGGTGATTGTTCGACTATAACAGCACATTGAGTGGTAGTAAGAGTGGATTATACCAAATATATTGACAGAAATGTGAAGAAGAACAATCCCGTCCCGGTTTTTAAACAAACCGTATTTAGTGGTTTTGTCATCGTTTTACGCATCCTTCTAGATTTAAATCCAGACGATTAAGCTGTTGTTCGTCGTTTGGCTCAAAAAGTGATGAAATACTCGAGAATCTTTATCGCCAACTTTGCTGACAGCCTAATCAATTTGGGTATCAGGAGTGTGGCGAGACGTCAATGGGTCATACAACGGACAATTCACTAATTTCACAAATACACCATCAAACCATTGAACCCTGGTGTGGAAGCAACGATGTCGTATATTACTGGCTGGCTAAGAGGGTCAGCAGCAGTCAGCAACCACTACACGATTCTACACGTTATCGCTTTTCCTAGTTCCATTGTTCGCCAGGTTGATGAACAGTTGTGAAACTCGTCGAAGCCGAATCAACATCAACCCCGTCAGATAGCTCCATTTATCTTGATACAAGTAGCATCACCGGTGCGACCGTGTATGTACGATTGAGTCAATTTATCGGTGAAAGCTGCGTCAAACCAGGGCTATCCTGAATCAAGGTAGGTGGCCATGTAATCAGACAGTCAAAACGCGGCGTTTTGCGTAGTAACGGCGTGTGAATACGGCAACAAGACATGCTGGGGAAGGTTAGGACCTGGCCAATTTCGTGACCTGTTCACTTGGCCTGATGAAGCTTTTGTGTCAAAAGCGAAACGCTGCCCAAATAAAAACTACCGATTGTTTACCGAGCTCTTCTGTCTTTACAGAGAAGTAGCACCAAATGAACACATTTGGTATTGTTCATGCGGCCACTAAGGCGCATGTGCCACCTTGTTTCATCAACTGATAATATCCGATTGATTTCTACCGCTCACGCCGAAGACTGCTGCTTCGAATAGCTAGGGAGAATAAGACTAGCAGGGTGTTAATATTTCGTCTTGATGCTTTCAGACGCGACAAAAAGACAAAATAGTTGAACGAAATCAGTAAGGATTTATCAGCAATAAGCCAGATTCGAATAATAACCGGAAAATAAGCATGTCTCCCACACGTCTGTATACAAAGCTCCCCTAAACAAACAGAGGTTCCGAAAGGATGTTGCATATCAGATAAAACCACTACTTTCTGGTGAAATTCACAAACTTGTTGACTAAACTGAAGAAAAATGAACCATGTGTCGGACACCCTAGTTGGGGTTCCAGATTACTCGAGGCCTTCCTTAAAAAATAGGTTACGATTTAAAGTTATCCACGAACGACGTCAAACGACAATCTCATGAGTGTGGGCGCTTGAAACGTCCGAATTTCAATCATTGAAAACTCTGCGGTTCAGCTCCGCGACCAGACTTGAAGGCTTATGCGTAAGTTCGCCTTCTTTGAGCTAAGCAAACAGGGACTGTCAACTCCCGCACTTCCATGACGAACACTTCCTCGTCCGCGCCTAGTTATTCTTTGGTTTGGGGGATCCAAGCTGCTAAGTCATAGATCAACAATTGCCGAAACTGCGAACCGAGGGTAAGGAAATGGAGGGACTTCAGTTACCAAAAGAGCTATAAACGCCAACACATTTGTACGACTTCACCACTCGGCGTACGAACGATATGGGGAGTTATCTGTAGTGAATAGGACCCTCGCAAATCAAACGACAAAGGGGCAAGACAAAACAAGGCAAACTCACAGGCATACGGGACTGATGACTGTTTCCGAATACAGCACGAAAAATGGCTGCCGCTCCCGCAGCACTGACTCGCCGTTGGTTAGCTTGGCTGCGTTGTGGCCCTTTACAGTTGTGGTCCAGCTCATTACGGTGAGTAACGCAGTAATTCAGTCCGCATCGTTCGCACGGACATAGCACTGCTTCACGTCTTTTGCACTTAGGCAGAGAACAGGCATTTGGAAAAATCTGCAGCAAGGAATACAAAAAATTCAGAACTTGGTGGTCACCTGTCACTATTTGAGGGCAACGACAACTGCAGAAGCCTATGAGGTAAGCCTTCACAGAGGTGGTCACGTACCATCAACTGATATTTAGATTATCAGTAAGACTATGTATGACGTATGGACATGAAAGCAAACTAAGTTCAAGTGGAATGTTGTGGTTATCCTTAACACACCGTTCGATAAGTTACAGTGGTACCGTTTGTCCAATTCTCCTAGTATATGGAAAAATTCAAACCAAGCAAACCACCTTGCTATTCTTTGCTTACAGGTGGATCACAAAAACAACTCATTATTCGCAATGACGGCTATACAAGCGAGTTGTCATCGTATCACATGTGAACCATTTCTTAATTCGTATTAACTTGTGGATTTGTAATGAGAAATCCACTCGTTACTCATTGAGGGTCGAAGAATGGCATGTACCATCGTGTGCCCGGACATTTCGATCAGATTTCTAAGAGGTGAGCAATGACGGGATTTTACATAGCCCCCAAAAGGCTGCTACATTGACACTGGAGCAGTCAGAGAAAGTTTACTCCAGTACGACTACTCGGGTCGCATTTGACCCCGTAGTAAGCAGATGATACACGAGGAAACAAAAATGCTGTCTGGAGAATCAGCCATTCGGTATATCTGGTTAAACAGGCAATGAATAAACTGGCTTGGATATGGACTAGAGGAACCATCCACCTAGCGACATTGCGTCGTGTGTGTAGTGTACCATCTGCTTCACACGGTAATCTCGTTGACCATGGCAAATTCCTGGATTCACCTGATAACCATAATATCGAATTGCGGTGAGTATATTCATTTGACAACCTTCCAGCACTTCACCCTCCGCAAATCACCGCTGCTCAGAGGTAGTGGCGCAGTAAAAATACCAGCTATAGATGAATGGAGGTCAACAAACACGGAAAACGTGCGGGGCCTAAGTTGTTTCACCCAGAAGTGGCATCCCGGTAGGGCAAGCTCAAAGGTTAACATCACTCTTCCAGATTTTCACCAGTCAGTTCCGATAGTGGTACAACAAGCACAAGATATCGTCTATGAAGCCTACGTAAGTATAGCTCGATGAGACTAGGTCTAGGATATCCTTTTCATTCAACGGTCCCTGTCGAGAGAAACCGTGTGGTTGACTTAAGATTAATATATCAATCTTAAGTACTAAGGCAGCCGAATTACAAACTATAACAAGCAATAACAATGAACTAGACAGACCCGTGGTCTGGTAATAAACGATCAAAGTTCATACCCAATGCAGGATAAAATCCACATGCATGTCTGAATCCTGTAATTTGGTCTGTACAGTCTCAAAAAAGCTGGTGTCCTACGATAAGGTTTACTGCACTTAATTGGCAGTCTGTACAACCGGTGGAAATCGAGCAATTGATAATGAACCTGGATCGATTAAAAACGGGGTTCAAATGTGAGTGACAATCAAAGCTAGCCAACTAGCGCATGTGTATGTGGCGGACTGTGAGTAGATGCAGTGTAGGTAAAAAAAATGAAACACGATGCACGGTAACAGCAAGCCGACAGTAGAAGAGATGCAGAAACGCTCTAATCTACGGTAAGCCATGAAATGATTGCATTGCCTGTCTAGCCAGTTGGGCAATACGGTTGTTAGGGTGTATTCTAATAACATTGGTAATGGCCACGAACGAATCGGGAACAAACAGAATCGCCATTTAATCCCACGAGATGCGGGAAGCAGATGAACTGTTTCAGTTCTGCTCCGTAGCTGAACCAACTAGCCAACATTATAGCCAAAAACAGTTAGTCCAGAACCAAAAGCTGTTAACCGAAAACGTATAAGTCAAACCCACAAATCAAGCCACTGCACAATCTGTCAAATGCAAACAGTTACTGTGGTATCAGGACAGGGTGATGAAATCATTCACGCAATCTATACTGCAGGACGGCCGATCGTTTAGCCGCTTGACCCAGTGACTATTCAGAGAAAGACTGTGAACCAGTTAACTTCACACATTGACTTGTGACCCAAGCCTAGAATTATTCCTGTAGGCGGAGGAGCGAGGAAGGATGATTTAGTTGCAAGGACCAGGACCTACGCGAATATGTTGTTACCAGGTCTCTCCCATCCAGAGCTTGAGGAAGAACCGTTCCAACCCAAGAAGTTCTGTCAATGGTTTTGCACAAATTCAACATGATGTTCATAAAATTTACTATCCACACTGTGAGCCCAAACAGGAAGTACATTCTGACCGCCGTTGGCCATAACAGGGTGCACGAATCGGAAATTACGACAACCACCGAATAGATCGTTCAGCCGTAACACCCTTTCGGTGACTAACTGCCATGCTACCCGGAGGGATCACGTGGGCTGGGATACTGCCAGGTTGCCCAAGCCTAGGCATGAGAAGTCGAGATCCATAGGTCGGGTTCGAACATCGGACCTTCCGGTCAGTAAATTCGCACACTAATCACTGCGCAATCTTGCCCCCCAAAAAGCATGAATGGCTTGGAATCATGCGCTCAAGATATCCGTTTGTAACTTCACAGAAAATAAGTAGGTCATGAAATTCGGTATGGATGCACATACTTTCTACCTAAAAACGAGTGAATTTCGGCCCACAGTAAGCAGGTGTTTGTTCCAGCGGCAACCTGATGTTTCTGGCTGTGTAAAACCACTCTAAAGATGATAATCCAATTCTACCTATATAGCAGGTGAAAAGAAAATAAACGTTATATGCAATACGGCGAAGCATGCCATCTAAATAACGGTCGATAATGGTCGCTCTGAAGGTACTTACCGCGGGGTCGCTTGTGAATGGATTCGCATGTCTTTATACTAGATGTAAATTCGTTCAGAAGATCATCGTAACTAGAGATATCGAGACAAACATGCTCTCACTAGTACAACCAGGGAAGCGCGAATTACTTCTGCGTAAAAACATGAACTTGATAGGACAGACCAACGGAACTAGACCTAAACTACCGATCATTTCGTAAATGGACGCTTAGGAGTCCTTTAAGTTACAAGCAACAAACAGACAGTCACGGTACGCGGGACCAAGCTGCTAATGAAACTTTTGATCCCACAATCCATGTCAGGAGGAACTATCTGCTTCTGAAAGGCTTGCAGTTTTCAGGAAGCGAAACCAGGGTAACACACTGATAGCAGGGGAAATGTAAATGAAGCTCTTCAATGGTGTATTCCTACACAGGAGACTAAAGCCTTACAGTCGTTTCCCTAAAGCCATTTGAAACCTTGTATTTGGGAAACAGCAGCGCCGCAGGAAACCAGATTAAGAAAACCTCACAAATCTTTCACCTTATTAACAATGACAACACCGTCTGAGTACAGTGATGTTTTACTGCTGTGTGAACTGTGACACCGTCTGAGTACAGTGATGTTTTACTGCGGTAAATTAGACACCCCATCCGAAGTGGCCACAAAGTATGGAAATTGCAGAACATTATTGACCTTTGAGAATCCGCGTGCGGACGTTTCCTGTCACCCCACTGTCAAAGTTACTACAAGTCTCGAGGTAATTACAGTGTTCTACGAATTACAGTGAATCTCCTCACATTCGTGCGGACATGTACAAAGGGTGTGCGTCCCGCGGCAATACTTCGCACTTTGTGGATGTGGACCACAGACCGAAAGGTTGGAAAGTCTTATTGAGCTCTCTTACCTACACACCTACACTTCCTGCTCTTCGAAAATGGGGGCAATGTCGTCTGCATGTTCCAGGTTGACAAAGTTACCACTCCGGCACAACCGAACGCCGAGGTTTTGGATATTTACCAGATTTCACCCCGTTGCTTCATCAGTATAGAGACTGAACAAAAATGGAGAGAATGCTTGTGGGACACCAACGCTTGTAGGAACGCTTTTGAAGAGCTCCCCATACACTATCACACGCCCACAAGTACGTGAATACAAACAGAGCATAATATTTACGAACTTCTTCGGCAAAACCCGTTGCGCAAGCGTCATGGAAAGTCGAGAATGACGGAATTGAAGACGCTCTGGAAGTCAAGGACCAGCAAGATTGTAGGGCGCTTACACCCATGTTGCTGCTCGAACAATTGACGCAGCGAGAAAATATGGTCCACATTGCCTTTCTGATCTAAATCATGCGTTCTGTTTTCGAGTGTCATTTTGGAGCGCATTCGTAAGACGACACATAATAGGCAAGACAAAGCCTCTGGTTATAACGGGGATCAAGTTGACTTCTATGCGATTGTCATACACTGTGAGTATCGCGCTTTTGAAAGTGGGTACCCCAGTTGGACGAACCTTTTGTCCCAAATGGGAGCAAACAAGTTGGATACGCAGTGACTATGGTTTTTACTACTGTCCATGAACAGAACGGGTTGGAACTCGTCAGGGCTAGCGGCTCCGTGGCGTTTAAGGAAAAAGATATATTCGCTCATTTCCGAAGCCGTCAAAAGTCCCAAATTGACTGTCTTGGACTGAGCTTTGGGCAGGTATTCCGGTTGAGCAAGTGCAGGTGGCCATTTGAATTGATTTTAAAAGTATTCAACCCAAAGATTTGGGTGCCCTTCCTTATTGGAAATAGGTGAGTTGCTCTTGTCTGTGATGGTCTCGCTCCCTGGAGACTTCTTTGGGACTGTTACGCATGTTAGCTAGAACCATGTACACACATTCCAATGGTTCTTCGCTCCCCGTCTCTTCAGCCTTCTGAATCCACCCAGACAATCTCTCCCGCCTGGCAGTACTCTCGACCAAGGGGAAATATGTGCCCCAGCAGCAAGAAGCTTTGGACTGTTGCTCGAGATCCAGCGCTTGGATGTGGTCGATTACGCCACTCCACAAGCGGAGCGCTCAGCATCTTGCGGGATCGTGGATAATGGCTTCTAGTGAGTCAACATCAGAGTATGTGTTATTCGAAAGTGACCTCAGTAGGTGATTTTGATATGCTTGTCTCACGTCAGGGTGCGAGAGCTCAATAGCTCCGTGGTTCTTGCCGAAAAGACAAAGACGCCAGTTTCTTCTTCGTTTGAACTCTTAGCTAATGATAACTACTTCACGTTACATAGCACACAAGATGGTACCAAGAAAAGAAAAACCAAACAGCAGCAATAGACGATATTGCATGTGAAAACGTACTTTGCCCTTAAGCTCGAGAGCTGGTTGGGATTTACAGGCTGTGTCAATATGTTGACCAACACGTTCATCCGGAGATTCACCTGGTCGTATAGGCACAACTGTGTTGCACAATGGACACACTGGGACTTGTTTGTCCTGAATCCCTGGACTGCGGCAGTTGTGTTGTGCATAAGGGTAGTGTTCCTTGCAGTATAAGCCATGACAACCAACACATTTGACAGGAAGAAAATCTAAAGCGCGAAACGTTCGGCGAATGTTTGCAAGATAGCTTACCTAATCTTCGACAGCTACTAAAGGAACAATGAGCACCAAGTTCTGGAAACTCCATTCTGTCGGCAATATATGGAAATCAGAGGGTGACGTGACTTGTTATATCGCAGTGAAGAGTTCACATAGCTGCAAAAAAATGGACAAAAATCAACTGGCATTTTCAATATGGCGGCGTCCACGCAGACTGCATCCCAGACTTTTTTCCTGGAACAGACGCCGTAGACATACCAGTTCCAAACCGACAAGAGCGACGCTGCCGAGTGCCTATCGTAAAGTGAAATCCACTGACTCTTTTTCAAAACGATCCAAGGTCAACAGTTGAGAACCAGTGCCTCGCTACCAAATAAGCATGCATACGTCTGAACGATCCAACTGCATACCCAATATTTTTGGATATCGATCTTAGACTTAACAAAGATAAATACGATGTGCTGGTTTGTGAGAGTAAAGGAGAACAAAACGCGACTGAGTTGACTGTTAAGTCGGCTTCGATCGATTTTATCCATGCAAAAGTACAAAACGATTATTAGAAAATGACCAAGCAGTGCACTCACTCTTGTCTTCCCAATCAACAGATGCTACCTTGTCGTGGTGGTGGCCCAAAGGCTGCAGTGATCCGCGGGGAGTATATTGGCTAGAGGTTCATCAAAAAAGGCAGTCATGCAGCTAGAACTAGAGGGGATAGCTAAAGAGGGAACAGTGAGGTCTCGTACAATGGGTAAACGAACAAAAGAAGTAGACAGTAGTGTCGTGCTGTCCACTACAGCAGCAGCGTGTCTGTTTTAATGAAGCAATAACGCCTTCCCCCGAAAGAGCATAAGTTAAAATAGGTCGGCCCCAGTAACCTTTCGATGAACCAACGGCTCACTGTGTCTGCCAGCGATTAATCTAATATGGCCAAAGTACAAACAATACTTCCCAAGAACCTGAAATGGCAAGAAACATATTTGCTGCACTCAGGAATATCAGATGTGTAACAATTATACTTAACTCTCGAGGTAGGCAAAATTCCCACAACCGAGCAAAATGGATCATCGGTCAGGGTTACCAGAACACGTCCAACCAGTTCTTTATGATCCAATCGGCCGACAAGAATAATACTGTCATGATTTTTGTGTGCTTATTCTTATACTTACCATATATACTCGTACTGAACTTTTGTATGTACATTTCAGCTCATGTGCGCTTGTTCTTAGACAAGTAAAACGTTGCTTATCCTCGAAAACCTGGACTCTGTTCTAACTCGTTCTCGGACACTTTCTAAACGTCTCAATTTACTTGTCTAAGAACACAATGGACCCGCAACTACGACCTCGGTTCTTCGACGCTGACCCAAACTCCGCAGATGCAGCAAAACGCTGGAATCACTGGTTTCGTACCTTCGAAACCTATCTGAAAACCGTCGAATCTTCTAAACCCGACAAACTTGAAACTCTCATCCACTTTGTGGATCCATTAGTATACGATCACATTGCTGATCACACCGACTATGAATCTGCAATCGCCACGTTACGGAAATTATATGTCCGTCCAAAAAATGTCATATATGCACGCTACCTGCTACAGACCTACAAACAGGAGAGTGGACAAGATATCGATCAGTTCGTACAAAAACTGAAATCATTAGCCAAAGACTGTGAGTTTAAATCTGTGTCTGCAACTGAATATCAAGATGAGTGCGTGCGTGATGCTATAATTAATGGCCTGGCGTCCACATCCATCCGCGAGAAGCTTCTAGCACAAAGCGAACTCACTCTGGACCAAACATATCAGCTGGCTAGATCCCTCGAATTGGCTCACAAACAGTCACAGTCATATGTTAGTAACGAACCCATATCTTGCTCTACGATTCCACCCATTTCACAGAATCCCGAACTGCGTGTTGATCCCACCACTGCTGCTGTAAAATCCATTCAGACATGTTATTTCTGCGGTTATGATGCACATCCTCGTCCAAAGTGCCCCGCTCGCGAAGCCGTCTGCAATCTTTGTGGTAAACGCGGTCACTTCCGCCGCGTGTGCCGTTCAAAAAATACCTCCAAGTTCCACACAAGTTGTACAACAAAGCCTACTTTATCGTCATTATTCGTTGCAGCAGCTCCTACCTGCCTGGCGCATGCCATCGCAACTATCGAAGTCAATGGCATCACTCTCCGTGCTCTGGTCGACACAGGGAGTTCTTGCAGTTTCATTAACGCTAAGGTCGTGAAACTGCATAATTGGAAAATTTATCCAACTTTCTCAGTCGTCACAATGGCGTCTACATCCCTATCTTGTCGAACGACTGGTTACGCTTGTGTTTCTGTCCGATACAGAGATACCTCATACAGTGAACTGAAGCTCTTTGTAATGCCAAACCTCTGCACCGACGTTTTACTCGGGCATGACTTTCTAGGTCTACATGGCAAGGTAGAAATTTCATTCGGCGGGGATCGTGATGCGCTCACCATCTGCGGCCTGACGGCTGTAAACGTTGAATCACCATCACTTTTCGCCAACTTGTCTCCAGATTGCAAGCCTGTTGCAACCAAATCAAGAAGGCATCATCCGGATGATGAAAAATTCATTCGCGCCGAAGTTGACCGCTTATTGCAAGAAGGCATCATCGAACCGTCAACGTCTCCCTGGAGAGCGCAGGTTTTGATTACTAAGGGTATCAATCACAAACGCCGGATGGTTGTTGACTACAGCCAAACTATCAACCGGTTCACATATCTGGACGCTTACCCTCTGCCACGCTTGGACAAAATGATTGAGGAGATTTCGCACTACGAAGTCTATAGTACATTAGACCTCTTGTCTGCTTACCATCAAGTCCCCATCTCGGCATCCGACAAACCTTTTACAGCATTCGAAGCATGTGGTGGCCTGTTTCAGTTTCGTCGCATACCCTTCGGTGTCACAAACGGTGTTGCGTGTTTTCAGCGAACTATTAACAATATCATTACGACTGAAAAGCTGAAAAGCACGTATGCCTACATAGACAATGTGACTATTTGTGGCAAGACCCAAGAGGAACACGATCTCAATCTCCAGTCGTTTTTGAGAGCTACGAGGAAGTATGGGATCACTCTTAATGATGACAAAACAGTCACTTCTTCAAAAGTTATCCGCCTCCTAGGTTATGAGGTTTCAAAGGGTGTCATTAGACCAGACCCTGAACGCATGGAACCCATCCGTCAGTTACCTCTTCCGCGTACTACCACGGAAATGCAACGTATCATCGGTATGTTTGCATATTATGCTCATTGGATATCCTCATTTTCCGACAAAATCAACAAACTGGTAAAGAATAAAACTTTTCCCCTACCTGCCGACGTCGAGTTGACCTTCGACAACCTAAAGAACGAACTAGAAAATGCTACACTAATCACAATAGATTATAACGAGCCTCTGGTTGTTGAAACGGATGCCTCCGATGTGGCTATAGCCGCGTCCCTAAGCCAAAACCGTCGGCCGGTAGCCTTTTTCTCGAGGACACTCAATCCGAGCGAGAAGAATCATTCTGCCATCGAGAAGGAGGCCTACGCTATCGTTGAATCCATCCGGAAATGGCGGCATTATCTACTCGGAAGACCCTTCAAACTGATCACCGATCAGCGTTCAGTCTCATTCATGTACGGCGGTGGACAGAAGGGTAAAGTGAAAAACGACAAGATACAACGATGGAGGATTGAGCTGTCCGAGTACAAATATGATGTCATATACCGACCTGGCAAGGACAATCATGTCGCCGACACTCTGTCACGAAACGTATGTGCTTCCATGGGGAGCAATAACCAACTCGGAGAGCTCCATAACTCCCTCTGCCATCCAGGCATTACCCGTATGTTTCATTTTGTGCGTTGCAAGAATCTCCCCTACTCCGTCGACGATGTCAAGCGCGTCATTTCCTCCTGCAAAGTGTGTGCTGAACTGAAGCCAAGATTTTGGAAATCCTCTGGTAGACTCATTAAAGCAACACAACCTTTTGAACGTCTGAGTTTGGATTTTAAAGGTCCTTTGCCATCTAATACACGCAACCGCTACTTACTCACTATAATTGACGAGTTCTCTAGATTCCCATTTGCATTTGCGTGTGCGGATATGACCTCGGCAACTGTGATTGACTGTCTCACACAAATCTTCTGTCTGTTCGGAATGCCAGCCTATATCCATTCCGACAGAGGCTCATCGTTCATGTCGTCTGAGATCAATAGCTTTCTTCTGGAGAAAGGTGTTGCTATGAGTCATACATCAGCTTATAATCCACAGTGTAACGGTCAAGTTGAGCGTCTCAACGGTACTCTCTGGAAAACAATAAGCTTAGCGCTGAAATCTCACAATCTCCCGCCTTCCCGTTGGGAATCAGTACTCCCTGATGCTCTACACAGCCTCCGATCATTGTTATGTACAGTCACTAATTGTACTCCACACGAACGTTTGTTCCAATACGCACGTCGATCAACATTTGGAATATCGTTGCCATCTTGGTTGACCACCCCTGGTCCAGTTCTGCTGCAACGAGGTGATAGGTCATCCAAGTACCAACCACTAGTAGAAGAAGTTGACCTTCTGAACTGCAACCCACACTACGCACACATTGCTCATCGAGACGGAAGAGTCGAAACCGTGTCCCTTCGCCGTCTAGCCCCAGCTGTTCAGAGTACAACTGACAATGTTCTCAATCTGTCTGAATCCAACGAGGATACCGAACACCCAGATACGACTGAACTAACCGGACGCCAGCCCGATAGCTCTCAAGCATCGGAATCTTCTTCTGTACCGTCTTCCGAACACCAACCGAGTTATCCTTTGATTCTAGAACAACAGCGACGCATTCATCCTTACAGTTTGAGGAACAGAGAAGCTTGATTCAGTACATCACTTCCTGTCTACGTCAGCTCATATGTGCCTGTTCAAACACTGTCGGGGTGAATGTCATGATTTTTGTGTGCTTATTCTTATACTTACCATATATACTCGTACTGAACTTTTGTATGTACATTTCAGCTCATGTGCGCTTGTTCTTAGACAAGTAAAACGTTGCTTATCCTCGAAAACCTGGACTCTGTTCTA